AGAAAGCTACAGGAAGCTAGTTAAAATCTTCCTATGCATGCTTCTGGCAAGAGGTTGTGGTTGCCATGCTATAGAATATTCAGGGGAGCTGTGCCATCACATACAAAATACCTGGACCTCCAGTGGAATGGGTAATTGAGAACCACTGTCATTGTGCACCCCTGGCCACTTGACATCTGTAAACACTTAGCCAGAACCATTCTCCCCCTTCCTCTGTAAATACAGGCATATTTAACTGCAAAGTAAATAGATTTAACAGGGGTGAGTGAAATTCTGTGGTGTGGTAGTAGCAACTTTTTTGCTTTGTACAGAGAAGGTTCTTGAGGAACACCCAAGTGTCGGTGCTGGGTAAAAACACTGACAAGTTAAGACACATTCTGTTATGTGATGAGCTGACCATGGTGAGCGTTTACAATGTAAAATCATGAACAAAAGTACTTCATGCCATGAGAGTCTATCATCATCTTTTTGGGACAGACTTTGCATGTGGGATGCTTGACCCAGTGTATCAACTGTATTGCTTTGACTCAAGGAGCAGGAGGTGGAGGCACTTGGAAGCTTTCTGACCTGAAATCAATTAGGCAGGGCAATGCCGTGCAAGGCATTGTGTTGCAATTGACCAGGTTTATTTTTAGGGAACTGGTACAGCTTTTACTGAGCCCATTTCTTTCCATACAGAATTTACATTCTTTTACATCCTGTCCCTTTCTCTCTGACTATAGTTGTAGTCAATTATATGTTGCATACACTGAAAATAAGTGAATGAGATCCTATGACTGAGTATGGAGACACTTCTCTTTGGCACTTGGCAGCTCTGCATTTGCTGAATACTTTAAGCAGGAGATGAGTTTGTGTAAAGTTTTGTATATATTGTCTGTTTTTATATAATTTTTTTTTCCCCAATGTATCTTCACCAGTTTGGTGTATTTCGAGAAGGTTGGGTTTCTGTTTTATGGAGGGAGAACTTCCAAGACTGGTAGTTGGTTGGAACTGAAGGGGTTTCTTTTTTGTTTGTTATGTTCAAATGGATCTATCCATCTCACAAGATGTGATTGCATGTTTTTAACTGGGCAAAATGAACCTCAAAGGCACATGTTTGTCTTGGAATGTTTCTTGATGTGCAGAGCTGTTGTCTTTCTTCTGTTCCAGCCTTCTGAGTACGTGCTAGAAGTTTTCAAGAAGGTCAAGTCAAGGTGAGTCCCAAGAGCCTTATTGCTGAACAGGCTTGTGCTAAAGAATTGGATCTCTGAATTGGTTGGGGTCCTGTGTTAGACTTCTGTGCTGAGTGGGTGGTGTTGAAGAGTGGAAGTTACTCTCTGGCAGCCTTTTTTTTGGAACTGGGGAGTGGGAATTTGTCCATGAGGAGTATTCAGCGAAGCTTGTATATGGGTGTTGGCTGCCTGGAGGTGTATGCGTATGTGAAGAGGAAATTGGGGATGCTGAGGATGGAATGCTGTGCCTCCTCTTTGTGTCAGAAGATGCCTGCTGCCGAGGCCCTGGGCTGTGCTTTGTGCTTTGTGGGCAGGCACAGACCAGCAGTGGGGAGCATTCAGCACAGCTTTTGTGTCAGAACCTTCCCACATGGAAGCATTACTTGCTCATCTATAGCTCTGCAGTAGCTGAGACTATTGTTACCATCCCTTTGCTTCTTAGTGAGCTGGAAGAGTCTCTCCTTGTGCTGCCCTTCTCCTATGTCCCTGACCTACTCAGACTCTTCAATGAACATATTCACTTGGGTGCAGAAATTGAACTCCTGTGCCGTGCTCTCCTCTTCCTGCTCAAGTGAGTCTTCCACCTGCCCAGACAGGGCTGCTGGTCTAAGTTCAGCTGTCATTACTGTCCGGATCCTGAATGCTAGGAAGGCTCTGGTCCGCAGTGGGTCTGCCTGTTCCTCAGGGCCCATCTATAGTGTGTTGTCATGAACTCATTTTGTGCCACTTACATGAAAAGAAAGGTGCTCATTCCTCTTGTGAGGCAGTGCCTTGAGACAGCACAAGAGCTGGGGAATATAATCTCTCTCTTGAAGCTGTAAAGACTATGTGATGCGCTGTGAACATGTGCAGCTTAAGTGTGTGGGGAAGATCTGGACTTTCTGGCTCTGGAGCTCCTGGAAAGCCACCTTAGGAATAAAAATGTGGTCTCTTGGGAATTAAGATGTGGGAAGTGAGGAATTACTGCATCCCTCAGCTGCAGCTGATCATCTGGGAGTGGGCTAAACAGAATGCAGGGTGCTGACATGCCTCTGTTGATGTCAGTTGCTGGTCCTGTGTTTGTTCCCAGGATACATTTTGGGCAGATAACAAGCAACCAGATGCTGGTGACAGTGATAGAAAATTTGAAGAAAACCACCATCTCCAGAGTCAGTGAGGCCCGGGTGAGTGTTGCTACCTCTCCTCCAGAGTCTGGAATAGCAGTATTGGCCAATGTCTGGAAGCATTTGCAGTCAAGTAGGAAAGCTGCTTGGGGGTCTAGAGCCCATTTTCATCTTCTTCCTGTGAAAACAGGCTACGTTTTCCTGATGTGACACTATGCAGTAATGATCCTATGTGCGCTCTTCCTTCCCCCTTCCTTTGGCTTTTTGTTGATGCAAGTAATTGTGCTTTGGGTCTCTTGTATATGTGGGAAGTAAATAAACTCTATTTGTCTTCTTGTGGGCTACAAATCTTTTAAGTACCTTTCCCAGGAACGTCTTCAGATGGTTGTCAACAACTTGTTTTTTTAGGAAATAGTGGATTATAGCAATTTTTAACAAAAATGTTGGGAAAAGAGTGCAGGTTGTTCACCTGCTCAGATGAAATTTACGTTTAAGTATTGCTGCCTTAATTAGCTGTGGGGGATTGTCTTGCTTTCATCATCCCTCAGTAGAGAGAGGCCAGAGTATCAGCAGTTTCCAGGCAGCTTGTACCTCCTAACAAGCTGGAGATGTGCCCAACAGCATGGTGCTTGTCTGTCTCAACAGGACGTGCTGGGATTCAACATGGCAGGGCTCCAGTACCTCAAGAGAGAGATTGAAGCCAAGGATGAGGTCATGTTTTTTGCTGATGCTACAGACCGTTTTGAGGAGAAGAAGAGGAAGAGGAAGAAGAAAGAGAAGATGATTCTTGCAGTGGTTTAGCATTCGCTGCCTGGAACAACGGGGATGGCATCAAGTAACCTCTGTGCTGGCCATGGACCTATTCTTGTGGCTGAACATCTCTGTGATATTTGGTGACTGAAGCAAAGCCTGTCCCTTCTTCCTGTGGGATAGCCAGCCCTGCCTGGCTGGAGACAGTGCCAGCACAGGTTGATCGTCTCTACCTAGTGAGATGAGCTGTCTGTGCTCTGCTCTGTATGTCTGCGTTTCAGTTGTTTCTGAGGTGGCTGTCAAAGATTAATGCCTTTCCTCTACCAAAATGCCTGACAGAATTGGAGTTGGTTTCTTCTCCAAAAGAGATCAGCCTGCTGGCAGTGTGCTAACTGAATTTGGTGAATCAGCACATGGGCTGCTTGTCAGACTTTGCCCTGTCCGTAGGAGGCAGCTGGCAACATTCTGTGCTGCTTTGACACTTACTGATGGTTTGTGGAAGTGCTTAGAGGCTGTGGGCAAGGCTTTGAGACTTCAGAAGTCATCTCCAGCCATTAATTTTTCAATGGAATGGAGGAAACACTGTACTCTATTAAATAATGTTTATATATGCTTTATCAAACAACTTTGTCCATGGAATATGTCCTGATATTTTTGTAGTAAATCTTTGATTGTGTCATTCTGTTTTACTGGTTCTTAAATAATTTTTTTTTTTTTTTTTTTTTTCCCAGAAAGTAAAATTGTGGGAGAAAATTAAAGGGCTGCAGTGAAGGATTGTGCTCTTCTAAACAACTGGCAGATGAAGCATGAGAAGTGTGGGCTTATTTGTATTGCATCTGCTCCCATGTATTGGAAATTGCACAGAATTGTTGCAGGACAAGTCATACTTGTCCTGTATCAGATAAAAATGATTTAAGTGGGCAGGCCTCTGCTCCTGTTGATCAGTAATCAGTTTTTCATGTATGCTGCCTTTTTATCCCAGTGATCAGGTTTGGTAGATGTAGGGGCTGCTTCTGGGGCACTTTGTCCTAAAAAATAATATCACTTTTAGACTGACAGGTCTGACTCAGGTTCTCAAAGCTGATCTTCTTTCTAACATGAAGTTCATCTGAATTTTTAATTGCATCCAAGTTGTTATTGACTGTCCAGTCTTGTTCTCTATAGTAGTGAAAGCTGTTGTTTAATCTCCAGTCATAATCTTCTCAGTCACTGTAAAGTGTTGAAAGTCGTCTCCATGTACTAGAGAAAACTCCCTGTTTCTTAGGATGTTAGGTACTGGAAAAAGCACAGGAAAGCAACCCACTGGAAATACATTAGAAATAAAAATGCAGAACTGCACTTAACAGTAAGAATAAGGTATCTCCTAAAAAAGCTGTTTCTTTTAGTGACTGCTGCGTAAGTAGAAACAAAAAGGGGAAAATTGCACTTCTAAGTGGTTCAGTCTACCACTGTGATAAAATGAACCTTTGAAGATAAGTGGATATAAACAGAATTCCTTTCACGTATAACTTTGTGTGCTCAGCCCCCATCTGTTGTTTGTAGATAATTAAAGGTAGGTGAGCAGTCTGTGTGCAGAAAGTTGAGCCTCAGACTGAAAGCAAGCAGAAAGTTAGGAATTAGAAGGCCAGAGCAGATCAGCAGCACTTGCTACAGTTACTTGCTCAAAGAGTCACACTTCAGTGAAACTTGCTGCATGCCTGGTACTGGTGGGGGGTTTCAGGTGCTTCAGGGTGGCTACAGAAACCTAATCTCTTGTAAAAACAAAATAAACCTATCAGGAAGCATTCAGCACTCTTGCAGTGCAGAGTGTCAAACGGGGGAATTGAAATTCCACGATTGTTTCAACTGTTGGCATTTCAGGCAGCCACAGAAGGCACTGCAACTTTCGGACCACCTTTCCCATGAATAAGAGACAGACAAAATTTTCATTCATGCTAGTTTGATTGAATAAATGAAAAAGTCTACGCGGGGAATGTTTCCATAACGTTGGTCTAAAATTTGGGTAATTCAATATTGCTGCTTTTTACATCATTCTTCCAAGGCTTTGACCTGTAGGGAAAGAGGAGAGAAAATTAACATGAGAGGAAATAAAAGTAAAATAATAATAATAAAAAGGTCTACTTCTGTGTGGTTGTTGAAACACCGTAATTATGTCAGGCTGCCTTCAGTAGAACTGGCCTGTATTGTTGCTGTTGGAAGGGAACAACATGAAAACGGGTTCTCGCATAGGCTTAAACTAGATTAAGGGTTTGTTTTCATTTCATAAATTGAGTGGAATAAAAATCAAGACCAGGAGTTCAAGCTGGGCAATCTGCTTGGGAATACTGAAGGCATTCACTGGCAGCTTCCTCTGCAGTATTTCATTTTGAGTGTATTAAGAGAATCTTTGTGAAATGTTTTAAACTTGAGAAAACGTGAAAGAAATGCCTGAGCCTGAGCTGCTGTTGCTTCATTGGTGATCTTTGATTCTTGGTCTCTGCTGGAAGGTGTGGCAAACTTGTGATCAGTTCCAGGCAAGGGAAGTTTCTAGGTGTCATGGGAAAGAATAATATTGGTTCTAGTGATAGTAATCACTTAGGAAACGTGATACGGACTTAAAAAGTTGTCACATAACCCTGCAAAGACTTTACTTCTGTCTTGGTGAAGCCAAACAAGACTTTTCAAAGTGATGTGAGCCTTAACATAGAAGTGTCAGTGTTTTCTGACCCCCATCAATGCTAATTTTTGATGTGTTGGAAATGGACAGGATGTTGAGCTCAGGAGGTATTTTGGGGAAGAATGTTCAAAGAAGCTTTTGGTTCAGCTGTTTGAGGAGTGAGGTATGGCTAAGAATTGATAAATTGGTAGAAATTGTCAGTCCACTCACACAAAGGCTTTGCTAGAATGGAAGGACATCAGACTGCGGTAATGGCAACGAGGAAAGCAGTCTCCACAATTATCTGGAATAGTCAGGTGGGAGATGAATAACATACTAATTTCTCTCCACCTGGAATTCTAATGGAAGGTGACGCTGATCAGAATAGGCTTGGCAGGGACAAGTAGATTGGTGTGTACCTGGTGTTCAGGGATGATCCAACAGCTGTATTTTGGTGCAGGGCTGTGATGGGCTGAGGTGGGAAAGGGAGGAGTCAGACTAGGTGAGTACTTCTGTTCCATTTCAAAACAGTGCGAGAGGGGTTTGTCTAAACTGCCTTAACTGGTGAGCTACAAGTTGTAAGCTGCTAAGATGGAAGGTGTTAAATTTGCTATTCTTCCTAGATACAATTGTTTGTTACTCTGGAGATAAAATTCCATACTGAAAGGGTAAGAAGATATTTAAACAGGAAAAAAGCAATGCTTGAAGTAATCAGGGCAGTCCTAGAACAGATGCAGCAGTCAGAGGTGCACATCTCTCTGAAGTTCTTTTGAGAACTGACTGATGTGGTCTTTTTTTGTTTTTTCCCTCCAGAGGAGCGGAAATGAGATACAGCTGGGATTTCTTTACTGACTTGTTAGATAACATAGCAGGCTTACAGATGGTAAAGTTGAAAGAAAAAAGATGATGTCAATGTAACAAATGGGAAGTCTAAACTGAATAGAGAAGAAACAGCCATAGGATTTCTGTTTATGAACTGTCACATTTGGCTATATTGTAGAGCACCTGAGTTGATGTGGATGAGATGAAACACCAGCCCAATGCTTAACGTGGTGGTCGGTGGTTTGATGAAAAATTCCCAGTAAAGCTGTCTTGTTGGCAGGGAAGATGTGTCCACTGTCCATGTATGGACACTGTTTCATTTAGGATACAGAGATATTCTGTATGAAATGTGTGCAGAGGGTGATGTGTGCTGGAACATGCTAAGTTGTGTCTGTAAGGCTGCTGTCCCATATTAGGCTTGCTGTCAGTGTCAAAGGGTCAGCAATAAGATGTGGTTTTAGGAAGAGTGTTAAACTGAGGCTGATTTATTAGGGCTTAACCGAAATAAATCTAGCTGCCTGCTGCCAGAAGGCTCAATCTACTGCTTAATGTGGAGACAATTAAACGAAGGATTTGGGGCAGGGCTGGGGAGGTTCTACTGTATCTCCACTGAGCAGAACAGCCATAGTAATCTGTAAATCTCTCACAGTGAATCTTTTTGTTAACGATGTCACCCAGTGCATTTCTTGTCTTTTTCTTGTCTCAGGTCAAGTGCGTGATGTGTGTGTGACAGCTTTGCTGGCAGTACCTGGCGGGTTTGTTGATGCTGTGGATCAGAAGCTAAGAGAAGGTACATCTGCCGTTTAATTCACAGCTGGCAGCACTGCATGCAATACTTACATTAGCTTGAAAGCTTTCGGGGTAGCATAATCCGGAACCGTGGCTTGGGACATGTAGGAACTGCCCGAACTGTCGCTGCCATCCCACCCTGGGGGTATCCTTGGGGGCGGCACTCATAAATGTCACTTCTTAACACAGGTGAGACGTTATGCTAAGGATCGAATCGTCTCAGTATGCTTATATAACTAAAAGAATATGGCTGGAGGCTGGAAGGAACTCTGGAAGGAAGGCTGAGAGACAATTTGAATCTGAACTGCTGGCCTCAACTCAAAGATTAAAGGCCAAGTAAAATACTGGGCGAGGGTGCTTGTTTTGGAGGGTGGTCTTGCAAAAGTGAGTGACTGATGTCTGGGCGAGTGGGAATGGAGCAGAAACCATTTTTGCTTCTATGCCACCAGGTTTGTCTAGCCCATTTCCTCAGTTACACACCTGAAAGATTTCCCAAAGCATATAAAACCTTGATGCAGTTGCCATTAACTAGCACTCCAGTCAGTCTCATAGGACCCTGAATTCTTCTTCTCTTTGGGACTAAGCAATTGAGCCCACACAGGGCTGATTTCTGGCAGCATTCATACAGTTCTGTGTTCACAATTGCTGACACAGCGATTCTCTCCCTTGCCTGTTTAGAGCATGAGGCTTTACCATCAAATGCTGCCATATGTTTTATTTCCAAGGGATGGCACGCTTCCCCTATGAGGACAGGCTGTAGAGATAGGGCTGTTCAGCCTAGAGCAGAGAAGGCTCTGAGAAGACCTGAGAGCAGCCTTTTAGTCTCTTAAAGGCAGGCTATAAGAAAGAAGGGGGCAGACTCTTCAGCAGGGTCCGCTGCTGAACCATTTCAGGGGAAATGGTTTCAAATTTAAAAAAGGCAAATGTGGTTTGGAGATTAAAAAAAAAAAAAGTTGTGATTTTTGTTTGTTTGTTTGTTTGTTTACAATAAGAGCAGTGAGGAACTGGAACAGGTTGCCTGGAGAGGTGATGGCTGCTCTGTGCCTGGAGATATTTATGGTCAGGCTGGATGGGGCCTCCAAGCAATCTCATCTAGCTGTGGATGACCCTATTTATTGTCAGGGGAGGTGGACTAGATGACTTTTAAGGGTCCCTTCCAACTCAAACAATTCTACAATTCAAAACTGTGATTAAAATATTTCTGTCAGTGGAAAGTGGAAACAAAGTCTTAATCTTCTATTTGTTCTTAATACCCACATCTTTCTGGCCTTACCATTCCTCCTTTCCCTGTTTTTCTAAGTCTTGTTACTTTATCTAAATTGCTTTTGGAGTTAGAATCTTAAATTCTTCATTTGTGCCTTGGAAAACATTGATCTGGTGTTTCCAAAAAGGACAGAAAAGCTTAAGGAAATGATGTTTAAGGCTCCTGCCAGGTAGTCAGTCCTCAGTGTGATGCTGCTAGAAGGTGTGTGTGGAGGGGGAAAAGTAAGACTGCAAAGGATATTTGCTCTCACAGGCAGCAAAAGAGTCTCTGTTTCTGTTATTATTTCAATATCGTGGGAAATTTCTTCAAAGCCATCGGTACTTTCCTCTCCAACTGACATGGCAAAAATTTCTATCTCCAGTTCAACCTGCAGTCCTGCTGCCACCTGGGAGGGAGAGAGAGTGAGAGAACTGCTGACAAACAAGGTGCATGTTCCATACATAGCCCCTCCACCAGTGCTTCCAGTTGATTCTTGTTCTGTGTTATCTGATGAAACCAGAGACTTAGTGGAGTACTGAGTACTTGTATCATGAGAAAGGTCTGTATAAAGCAGTGGCTCTTCCCAGTGTAGTTTGAAAGAAAACTGCCAGGTCTTTTTTTGTTTGTTTTTTTTTGTCTCATTGCAATTTTTTTTCCCCTTAAATTTCCTGTCAGTTCTATAGGCAAAAGGCAAATAAGGACAACTGAGAGAAAATAAAAAAGCTATAATGTGTAGGTGAAGAGATACCGAAGAAAAGCAGAAAGTGTGAAAGCTTTCTACTTCATGAGACAGTTTCATGTGCTGAGGTGCTTTGCAGGGTAAAAGATTTACGGTGGGGGATGGTTGCAAGCAAGAGAAAATCACTGAGGCAAAAGTTTACTAGGTTCAACTCTTGCAGATACCAGGATAGGAGATGAAAGTGCAGGCCTAACAGGTAGTAGCTCTAAAAAATACCCTAAACGATGGGAAAAACTTGGAGATAGGGTTACAGTATTCTGGGGCATGTTCTGAGGCACAGAGTGCAGAAGACAGCAGAGAGAGCAGAAGGCAGCATCACTTTAAATAACTTTGAAGTTATTTACAACGACATGGTCTACTCCCAGACAGCTGTTATGGCAGCATCATCAGAGTCATGTGAATGTAGCATAAAACAGAAGACCTTCTGTACTACTTACAGGCCCAGGTGTGTACAGCACGCTTAGTCCTGTGTATGGAGGTGGCTGCTTCACCCGAAACCTGTCAGAAAAGGAAGAGAGGGAGGTTGCTAGAAACTTTCAGGCAAGCAGAAGACATGGTTAGGAAGCAGCCCATCTGCTTTTCCTGTGATTGTGTAAATGACAGCAGAATTTTTTAGCTCATCCTTCCCACCACAGCGTACAGCTCTGGCTATAGCACTATTCCTGGGCTTTCAGCCAAGGCTCAGGCTCCTATCAAAAATCAAAGCAGTAGTTTAATGGGCTAAACTAAGTCTTTACATTGCTTATTATACTGCCTTGTCCTTGCAACAGAAGTGAAACAGCTGCAGTCTAAGCCTGCAATACACAAAGGAAGTTGGACTACAAGTTACACCTTTTTGGCAGCTACCTGTGTGTTGCACACCCAGAAGTCCTTAAAGATCTTTCTTCAATGTGATTTGATATGATTCTAGTGCAGAAGCATGATCCTTATAGAAATTACATGCAAATGAGCCTCTTCAGTTTCACGGTACCCAGTAAGGCAGTGATTAAATTTAATTTACTAGCATGCTAAATCAATCAATCACTGTCAAGTTCTCTAGAAGTCATTAGAGCAGATATGACCTTTGATAGTTCTGTAAGAATTCCTGCAGTTCCTCTGGAGTGCTGGTTAAGAGAAACTGCACTTCATCTTTGTCACAGCATCCCAGCACACCCAGGCAATGGTGTGGCACACAGTAGTTCTACTGACCCTGCCCTGGAGAAGTTTTGGCTTCAGCATGTGGCAGATGTGGGCCAGAACTGCCCACCTTTGCCCTATATCTCTGCCATCAGCATGTTCTGCTGTCATGGAGTGGCTAGTCACTTGCTTCTAAAAGCAGCTAGTAAAAGACTCAAGCTGGATTGAATAGAATGAGGGTGGTATTTTCTGTGTCTATATAGAATGCTCTGGTTTGAATCTAAAGAATGTAATGTGCACAGCTGGAGCTCCAGAATGTTGATATATGACCTACTGATTTATCATTTGCATGTACCATGATGCTAAAGTGTGCATTAAAGTAGAAATGTCTTTCTGAGGCCACATCTAACTAGACTGATTTAAAATAAATAAAATCCTGTCCATTCTCATAGAAGAAGTTGCACAAGAGTATCTCAGTTGGTCTTGAACAGATTTCTAAAGCTCCTCATTGCCTGAGTAGTCACATGAGACCATGATGACTCATGTGGGTGCACCTCTTCTAAGCCCCTATTTTGATGATAATTCCTTCCACCCAAGAAAGGAGAGCAAGTATTACATTTACATTATATTTAAATGCTTCGTGTTTGTCTCATCCTTGCATCATGGCACTACAGTAGAAGGATGCTTTGATTGCTAAGGTAGCACCACTGTGACAGCACTCTGGAACACTGGAACAGTGCTATTGCTATGACTGAATGAATGTATATGTTCAGTCACAATGCTCTGCTATCTTCTCACCCACTGACAGGGGTGACAAGTGAGGGAAACATGCTCAAATGAATGTTTTATTTCATCCTTATCTGTCTGTTTCTGAAATCATCACTGAAGCTGTTTCTAAATGCAGCTCAAGACATGTGGCTGCCTGAACACAGCTCAGTCCATTTAGGTTGTCAGAGTTGCAGCATCCAGCAGCACTTACAAAAGCCAAACTTAATACTGGTTACCATGAAAAAGTTTGGTTCTTCTTCTTCAGTAATAACCAGTAAATCATCTGCTGTGGGCTAGGACTATGCATACAGAACCTGCTGTTCCTTACCGGATTTGCATCTTCCTAATAACACTAATATGCAAATAATGCAGCAGTATTGCTACTATTATGTTCTCTTACATTGATTCCAAATATAAACATACATTTTGTTATCTCACATTCATCATATGAAAAGGCTGACAATTAACAAGCAATGCATATTTTGGTTGAAAACCACGTTACCGGGAATGTGAACTAACCTTGAGAAATTAATGCCAACATTCTTCAGAATCACAGTGGCTGCATAGGTACAGCCTTCCTTTAGTACTCCAAACATCATTTGAGGTGGAATGAGGTGGAAGTCGCTAAGATGCTGTTTTGCTCTTGCAAGAGAAGATATGTTGACCCTTCCTGCGGCAGGATCTTCTACCTTTGCAAACAGAATTAAAATATTAGATAACAGACAAAACTGATGGCCCAACGACTTAGATTCAGATTTACTAAACCTAACCACCTATATTTGATCTCTGTCCATTCATCTTGAGGAATTACAGGCAGGCATCGTAAATGCAGTACAAACTGAAAAGGCAAAACTAGGTACTTTGAATATTATCTGCAAATGTATAGTGGTTTGAGTTTTCAGACATAATGAGATATTTCAGGGCAACTGAGCATGCTCTACACTTTTGGAAATTAGTGCTCTCATGTGAGCACCTGGTATAGAACCAGGCTTTTGGCACATGAGGTAGCCCTAGTAGTTGAGAGGAAAGCTACTTTTAGAATTGCAAGTAAATTTCTGTATAGATTGCAAGTTCTGTTGTTTCAGTAAACAGTTTCAAAACAATGTCTAGTATTGCTCCAGAATAAAGATTTCATGCAAAAGAGATGATTGAGAGAATTTAATATTAACAACAACAGAAGATGCTATTTCACCTTTTTATGTGGTATGGAGTTTGGTTTTCTTCCCAGAAGTGATGATGGTAATCTCACTTTCTCTTTCCTTGGCTGTCCTGCAGCATTCACCAGCAAACTCTGAACCTTTACTTGAAAGGGTGCCTCTTCTGACCCCACAGCCAAGCTTGAGTCTGGAAAGCAAAGATTTCAGAAGCATAAAACAGTGGGCATCAAATTTTGCCCAATCCTGAAATTCCTATTCAGATAAAACTTTAATTTCCATGAAAGAATTTGATTAGCACTAGCACAGCTGAACTGGTCTCATTTTATTTAAAAAGTCAACAAATACATTAAAAAAAAAAAACACCAAAAACGAAAAACACCACTCTAATACTAGCTAGTAATTAAAATTGAACAAATAAGCAATTATGTACTATAATTAGTAAAACTGATTTGTGGGAAGCATCACAGTGGAAATATGCAATGAAGGTATATAATCATCTGTGAAAGTGATTAAAAACACAATAGGAGCTACAAAAACCCCATAAAATCATAATTGAGGACATTACTATTCCAAAGAAGGGCTTCAACTGCACATTGATCACACCCAGGCTGGTCAAGCCAATCTGTGTGTTCAAGCAGGAGAAGTTCTAGTCCAGGTCCCAGAGCAGGATTCTGTCAGCACAACCATCTGGCAAGTTCTGTTTTTGACCAGAATTTCTTGCCTTTATTACTGCAGTTCATTCATGTGGATTATCTGTGAACTTCTTCATCTACCAAGCCCCTAACTTGTTGTCTTTGAACTGAACTCCACTGTATAATATACATAAAAGGAGCATAGGAATGAAATGTTTTAGAGGAGGAATTATAGCTTGCCTGTGTCTGTGGTTCTACCATCACTATCATGCCCATGTAATTATAGCAGTCTGCTAGGGGAAAGGAGAGAATTTCTCCCATTATTTTTATAGCACTCTCCCTTTCTGTCAGTCTTGTGCTCAGATATATTCAGAATGTTGAACAGATAGAGGTGGATTTAAATATCTATTGCAGACAGTCAGAATTTGTAAGTAGACAGAAATAAACCTGCTCCAAACAATGCTCTGAAAAGCAGTTTTACCTGTTGTGCTGCTGGAATCTTCGCTTTGTATGGAATGAGTCTGCAGCAGAAGACTAGGGGAAGGTGAGGAGCCACTTGTGCTACTAAGACATTCAGATTCTAAAGGAAAAAATAATGGGATACTGTGACAGGTGTTCTTCACAATCAATCACTATCACTTTCTTAAGCACATGAAAAAAAACCCAAAGTATTTAGCACTTTAATTTAGGCAGCCTTTGAAAGCTGCCTACGTGACCATGAGAAGCTAGGTAAGTTCTGCACTCATGTTCCCCAGGCAGAAACAAACAAAGAAACAAACAAAAACAGCAAAACAAACAAACAAAAAAACAACAGAACAACTTTATATCTTGTCATTCTTCATTTATTTCTCAGTTAGCCAGAGAAGTCATCAGAAAGGTCTAATGTACAATCCAACCCAGCCTTCTAGTGACTGCAAACTGAGGAAGTGTGGAAACCAGCAGGGATCTGATAAAACCCCACGGAGGACAACTTTCCTAATACGAATCTTTGCTGAGTATGACTCTTGATCTCACTTCACCATATCAGTACCTTGCCAGAGCAGCCTTCAAACAGAGAAGTATCTCTCTCAATATTGTAAAGATTAAACTTCAGAATGGATTGCTCACTCTTACAATGCTTATCCTCAGTCACGGCTTCCTCCTCTTTCAAACGCTTTCCTCCTCTATTTTCCAAACTACCCTTCCGCTGTGCATTTTCTTTTCCATACCCCTTCTGTTTCAGTCCTGAGCTGCCCCATCCCTGTTTCATTTCAGTATTTGCATCATCTCTCAGCTTTTTCTGGTCTTTTTTCCAAACTTGGCCCCCTCATTTCTTGCTCACTTATTCCTGACTATTTTTATTTCACTTTGGGTTTTTTTTTTGAGCATTCTGCATCCATCAATCCTCACATTCATAGCACAATTCCTCAGCTTTGCATCCAAAGCCAGTGATGTCTGCAAAGGCTCCTTTGGCACGTGAAACACAGAAGTCTCATAGGCCACACTGGTACTAGTGGATTAAATGGAAACATTTCAAGATACTCAAACATGTTAATCTATATGGTCAAATTGTTGAACACTGGCATGATACTGACAGTGCTGTTGAGCAGTCTCCCCAGAAACATTGTTAGGCATTTAAGTTGGCTGGGGAAATGGCTGCCTTTTTTGTGAGACTGAATTTGCTAACATAGACACAGCCTACTCCATACTGATGGACCTCAATGTGAGGAAATGCTGCTGGGTATGCTTCATATGTTACCATAGCTATCAAAATGTCTGAGAATACACAGAGGCAGAAAATTTATTCTTAAATTTAACCTCAATATGAAATGAGGCAACTGGGTAAAAAAAAAATTAAAAATAAAAATGGAGAAGATATTAAAATGCTACCAGACAGTCGAGTCCAAATTACCTCTCCTGATGTTTTTCATTGTCTCTGGAAGGAGATTCCCACTTTCTTTTTGTGGAACTGGAGGAAGTTCTTTAGATAGTGCTTCCACATCAGGAAACTATAGAGAAAAAGGATGAAAAGAGGCTTAGGTATTCCAACAATAAATATAAAAAATTCAACCTCATCAGCATACCTCCCCTATGAAAAGAAAAAGGTCAATGGAAATAATAAGAAGCAGAACCAAAGAGGTAACAACAGAATTTATGCACATAAATATGCTGCAGATCCCAAATGGTTTTGACTATACTTTATACTCATAGCACTGATCAGGTGGGATTACAAGAAGAAAGTTCCCAAGGTCACCTCCAGTTAACACAGGTGGTTTGGTCTTACTGATTCCTTTTCAAGTTAACAGAGAGATGTTTTCTGGGGGATGGGTGAAAAGACCCAAGGTTCAGTATCTGCTATGGATCAATCAGATTGTCCAGAGTTTACCTAAGGAATCTCCATAGTTTTGCCTCAGTAAATACATGCCACCTCTAAGATACATTTCCTTTGGCAAGAGTATCTAATTCCTAGTATTAATTCTTCCACAACTGTCCTCTGTAATGGTTGCTGGAGTTAATTTGAGGCTGAGATGTAAAACCATATCTCTAAGTGTGGGACTATGGCAGAGGTTACCTGGCCTCACATAAACTTACCCAGTTTTCATCTCCATTACCTTTTTTGAGAGAAATGCCTTGCCCAATTCTGATTTGAAGTAGGGAGGAATTATTTTGTTTCTTATTGCCATTAAGGTTTTCTTTCCTTCATCAAGTTCTTTCCTAAGAAATTTTGTCGTTGTTGGTAAGGAAAAGAAAGAAAAAAGACATAATTGAGTTCATCCTGCTTTCAGTACAATATCCGAGACACTAAAGAACAAAAGGGATAAAGCAAAGTGGCATTTTATTTTATTTTTTTTCTGTTTAATTACAGTGAACAATATTCTTGTAATTTGCAATTTTCTCAGAGGCAGACCAAGAACAGGCTGGACTGGCTTGCAGACAGTTCTCTGCAGACACTGATTTATGGAGGTCTGATAAAAATGCATACATGCTGTGCTTTGGCTGCTATAAAGAGCTCTTACTCAAAACATACTCCAGTTACGTAAATCTTGCGGATCACGTCTGAGACTGCTAATAGTGCCTTTCTGACCTTCCAACAAACATTTAAACCTGAGGATTGGTATTGCAGATGCATTGTGATTACTAACATTTGTAATATAAAATTAATCAAATTTCAGTATTTCCTGTCAGAAAAACTTGATTATTCTGTGGATGCTCAGAAAAAAAACTTGTTCAAACTTCTGAAGGTGGGAGTCTAATACACCAGATGGGTGTGTTGCCATTTGGAGGAACTTTGAAAGGCTGGAAAAATGGACAGAGAAGAACCTCATGAAGTTCAACAAAGGAAAATGCAACGTCAGAGACCTGTGGAGGAATAAACCCATGCACAGGTACAAACCAGGGGACAAGGCTACAAAACACCTAGGAGTCCTGGTAGACACCAAGTTGAACCAAGGATGTGCTCTTGTGACTACAACCAGCAAAATCCTGGACAGTGATAGAAGTGTTGCCAGCAGATTCAGGGAGGTAAACCTTCCTCTCTACTCAGCGCTGGTGAGAGCAACCCGGAGTACTGGGTTCTGGGCTCCCTAGTGCAAGAAAAACATGGATTTATAGGAGTGAGTCCAGAGAAGGGCCACAGAGTTAAGGGCTTGAAGCATCTTTCATATGTGCAGAGGAAGAGACTGTTCAGCCTTGAGAAGCTTTGAAGCAGCACCACAGGTATATCTGGGGTTCTACTAGAAAAATCAGCCAGGATTTACAAAAAAAGCCAGAATCTTAACCTAAAGCATTAGCATCTGAAAATATTAATATATATTATTTTTCACACTGGTGGCAGAACCAGATGATAGAATAGAGGATTTCTGACTTCAGCCCTTGTTTTAATTATGCTAAGTTAACAGAAACACTATCAGGTTTTGACAAAATGAAAGGCAAACCATCCATTCAGCATTTGCTGAACTTGCAGAGAACACCCCTTTATTTGCTAGCAGAGCACAGCACTCAAGACCTCATGAAAGCAGTAAGTCTGTCCAAATGCAGACTTCAGTTGGCTTTTAAAATAAGTAAATTTCTGCCCTACTAATACTATTACCTGTGCTCTTGTAGTTTGCTCTGCCATTTGGACACTGGAGTTTGTTCTTCTGTGCTGAATAATTATGAAAGAAAAAGGTAATGAAAACAAGAAAACTAGCATAGTGTTTTATAAGCACAAAAACACTTGCAAGACAGCCCTGGAAAGAAAATGTTCTTTATGGAAGTCCAAAACATTAACATTGCTAGTGACTCCTGACTTGGATTTGTATCATTTGGAAAATCATTCACACATATTTCCATTTATATTGTTCAATTCAACCAAAATATTCCTAAAAAACCTTTTCCAACAGACGTTTGAGTATCTTTCAGATGAGGAGAGGCACAGAGGGACAAAATAACCACAGGAAAAACTAGTAAAACACTGGGATATGTACCCAGAGATCTAAGTCTTGGTTCTTTGCAGCAGCCAGGACAATGCCATTCCTGTGTGCTTATTTCCTACTTTTGTGTTACCTACATTTACATCAGTTCTCACAGGTACGTCCTACCTGAAGCTCTGCTGCTGGTCTGCTGTTTGCTCTGTGACTCTTTTCTTGGTGTGAAGCAGGCGTTGAGAAGCCACTGCATGTTCATACAGCTCAGTTATGTGAGCTGCAATGTAAAGAGCACTACTGAATGCACATATCCTGCTACGCGCTTGTAAGCGTTATGGCTAACAAACTTGAAAGGACATATCTTAATGCATCTTTCTTATACTTGATGAAAAGCTACGGTTAAAAGCAGTGAAGATAAAATTAGTTCTTATGAATCACTTCTAATCATATTAAAGATTAATTGCCAGGAACATATTCCAGAGCCAGCTGAAGAGAAAACTGGGTTCTTCCATTTTTTTTTTTTTACAGACAATAAACATTAATACGAGACAGGCCAATTACAGATTCTTTACTACTGTGAGGAAAGAGGCATAAAGAACTTCATTTCCAACATCAAGTTCAGAACATTAGCTGATAAGAAATTAATTCAATCAATAGAAAACAAACAAACAAAAAACCCCCAAATCGGAAGCAGATTAAGTTCATACCCCCACTCTGTATTTCCTGTATTTATGTTCAAGATACAAATCAAATAGCTGTGAGCAGGAAAAGTTGCTAACATTCAGTCACTTTCTAACTAGTGAGCAACTCTGTCTCCAGGCGAGGAAAATAATGTGGGCTTTTAGGTACCTTTATTACTTTCAGCCTACTTTGGTTGTACTTTAATTGCTGCTGCTTCATAGCCACAATCAACATTATCAGGTTACTGAACTATTAGTTCAATATATTCCATGGAGAAAAGCCAGCCTGTAAGACTGCGACAAATTTGAGGGCTTTTATAAAGTTTCCCTATCTACAGACATCTTTTATAAACTGTGTTGCTTCTTCCAAGCATTGAATCTACACTGTGAGTTCAAATAAAATTCCTTTGTTCAAAAGAAATTTCTGTGGTTAAACTTAAGATACACGAGTACTGAGAAATATGAACCTATTTGGCATTTCTTTCACAATAAAACATATTTTTGTATTTTCCTGTTTTTTCTTTTTCTTTTCTTCTTTTCTTCCTCTTTTAATGAGCCTCTTTCACAATATCTTCCTTGTTAATAATAGTACATTACAAGTGCATTTTAATTATGTGGCTTTTTGTTTGTTTGTTTGTTTTTAAATTAGAAAACTGTAGTAAGCCTTTGTTGCAGAAATTCTCATTTCCATTACATATTGTGTTTTGGTCTCTTAACAAGTAGAAAAACCCTTGGCAAGGTAAGAGGGGAAGAAGAATAACATTTTGAAGAGTAGTGTCACTATGAGATTGAACACTGTATATTTTTCTATGGAAAAGGGCTATGAATTATTAAGGGGATTATTAAGATAGGTATTCAATTTTTATTACCTTTGGCACTGAGATCTTCAGATGATTTCTCCCAGTTAGGGAAGAACTGTAATGAAGAAAGAGTAACTGTGACTATGTGAGAAACAGATCTAACAATCATATCCTCTTTAAAGGATTTCTATCCTAAACAAATGTTATCTGTTACCTGACAACATGACTACTGGAATGGAGGTACATCAGTGTGTTAGAAAACATGAGCTGGAAGAAAAAGAAATGAGGCACAATTTTCCTGGCCTAAAAATATAGGTTTCCTTCTTGATGATCTACGTCACGGCTAGCTTCATGTTTTACAGAGTTGCTCTTTATTACATCAACTAAGCCAGTTCATATTCAAATCATACCTCAAACTCACAGGCAAAAAGAGTCAAATAGGAAATAGGTTCAGGAAATTGCAGGCTTTGTTAGCTGTAGGGGAAGCATGAGAGAGCTCCTCAGTAAGCGTTTGAGCAGTGACAGACTCTTTTACTAAGCCATTTCCTTTGTTTTCATGCCGTCCCTGAAGCAGTTAACTGGAAACCAGAGTTCTTGTCATCAGACAGTCTACATTATAACAGAACTAGGGAACAGTGGAGACCTCAGAGGAATATAACACAGAAGGTCCACAGTGGGACTCTACGTCTCAGAAAACAGTTTTCCAATGTGAAATCTGTAGCTGCAAATGTGCTCTGGTAGCCAGGGCAATCAGCAATGATGAGTCAGGAGAAAAATCCATTGGAACTAAATAGCATGTGAGATTCGGCACCTGGCTCTCATCAAAGCACATAAAGGACACAGGGAGATTACCGAGAGATCATTTCTCAATACCAACCTTTCCAGAAAGATTGTGAGTTCCCTCCTACCTCCTGCTTTTTATTTTTTATTTTTTATTTTTTTAAGGTATCTTTTCTCTGCTGTCATTTAAAAAGTGCACATCGCATGAAAAGTGTTGAGAAAAATGTATGTGGAAGTTGTAATATCAGCAAATCAGAAAGGTCACTTTGACTAAAAGGTTCAGGGGTGAATTGTGGAATTACATGATTACATTTTATTTTTAAAGCTTGTAAGGAAGAATAAAATCCAGAGAGGTAAGAGAAAGACAGCAGCAGCATTTAACACTGGAAAGATTTAATGTCTACTGATTTTGCACATTGAAACAAGTTTTTAAAATGTAGACTCTAAGCCTAAGATGATGTTCATTTTCTAGAATACTCTCACACTTCTGAAAAATGGATCAATGATCTGGTAGTGAATATTTACACTAATGTGGCTAATTCAAACATCAGGTTTTTGAATTCAGTATGTTTAAATTTGCTATATGCTTGTTTTTTGACTAAGTGGAAATAAAAAGGAAAGCAGTGTTTAATAACCTAAAAGTCTCGCACATTAATTAACTTGATGCCAGGTCCCAAATTTAAAAAACACTGAAGAAAACATGATTTGAAGAACTGAAAGACAGCAAACTGAATGCGCTATGTAAGATGTGATGATTTTTAACGTAAGATGTAAACAGTGTCTCTCATTCATCCTAATGCCCGCCCACTTCTGCTGCTTGAACTTCAGTTTGTCACCACTCATCTCCCACTGACCTCACAGTTTCCTGGCCCCTAACTCCAAGCTTCTCTTCACCTTTTCAGCACCTTCCCTGTTCCCCTCCCATTTTTTCCTCATAGTCTAATCAGCCGTGCAAATTAACGGAACGTATTTTACAAAAATATAAGCAGAGACAAACAGTAACAATATTCCTCCAGATTGTTTCTAGATTACCTTGAAAGGAGGGTTTAAACTCTTGACGTGAAGGTGGTACTGACTGAAAGACAAGTCTCCCAGCTGCAGCCTAGAAACATTCTCATCCTAATGCTGGGGAACACAAGCACTTCAGTGTTTTTTGGCCTGTGTGTTTGGGAACATATCGTTCTGAAGAATCCAAATTCTTAAGCTGTTTTCAGCAGTCCTTCCCCAGATGGCAGTAGTGACATTCAGTAATCCAGCTAAACGTTAAATAACAGCGTGGCTTTGCTTTACCACTAAATTACAGTGAAGGAGGCACTGTGCTATCCGAACATACACTATAACAGAGTTTCAAGTGTGGCACTTGCAATGCAATACAGTATATTTGTTGGAAAAAAAGTAGTTCTTTCTCACCTTAGCCAGGTCAAGGAGATTTGCAGCATTCTCTTTTTCCTCTTCTGTTCTTGGTTCTTTTAAATTCATCTCTTCCAGCTCATCTTCCTGCTTTAAAATGTTTTCTATGTATTTCTTGTGGGGACAATAGAAAAAGAACAAGCAAGTATGCTTTGCAGAAGTAGACTTAATGGACACATAAAGAAAAAAGTTTGTAGAAGTAATGGGTATAAGTATACTTTGCAGTGTCATAAAGAGCACTTCTGTGAGAATGTGTGACTCCATATCTACAGGTTTGCAGGGGGAAATAGTTACAAAAAGCTGAAGAAGAGGAATGTGTGCAGAGAACGAGTGAAAGCTTGCCAGGGTCTAATCAACTCTGATGACTAGCAAGCAATACTGTTGAATATGCAAGAAGTGACAAACTGAGGACACAAAGCATCTGCTTAATTTGCACCAGGCCACTTGCACACATTCACACCCACAGTGAGCTGTATGACTTGGACCTACACCCAACAGGGTGGCAATCAGCTACTTAGAATCCCTTGGTGTGTGCCTGTATGATCCTGTGCTTCTCACGTTGAAGTAAGGGCTGGCCTCCCAGCTGTCACACTAGCCAGGCAAGAATGATGAGCGTGCAAGCATCTGATTGAACTACATGAGTGAATAAAGGAATGTGTTTAATCAACACCTATCTGTTATTAATAACAATGATTTGATCACGTTACTAAGATCACATTAACGAATAAAGGGGATCGAACAAACACTGGTTGTGATCTCTGTCTTCTTTCCATTTGATCCCTGTTAGGGAAATGGAAATTTAGAGTATCATAGTTGAAAAATCAGGCTTAGAAAGTGTCTGAAGCTCTGCTTTTATACATAAGCATACTTTCTCAAAATCACACTGAGTGCTAAAGAAAAGGGCATGCTCTTTTTACACATTTCTTTATCCATTAGGTGATCAACTGGATGGAAAAGAAGGGTCTTTGGAGACAGCTGCCCTAACACATCACCCTGCTAGAAAGTTACATGCAACATTGAACTTTATGCATGGAGAAGGTTGGCAGAAATAATCTGCTTCTAGTTCCAGTTCTTTTTCTTTAGATACTGATTTAGTTCTGCAAAAATGAGCATTTGGCTAAAGATTTAAGATATCTGTTTCTGGAAAAATCCATTAATTTGACATTGATATATGAGCAATGAGGGTTTTTTCACTGCACATTAATGCAGTTATTTACAAATGTTTCCTCAGTGCCAATAATTACAATTCTTCCTTCCCAGCATAACAGTGTTCTTCTTCCTCTAAAATCCAGAAGAGATCTGGTCAATGGAGTGATGTAATTTGGGATTTTGGTGTGGAACATTTACTATTATTATTATTTTTAAGACTGTTACCTTTGAAAACTCAATATGTAAATTAAAGAACAAGTTTGATATATGAGGGCTGCTCTGAAAGCAATGGTATGGTAGTAGAGCTTGAACCTTCCACCAATTTTCTTTTAGATTTTGTTACCATGTGACAGATGGCAGTTTGACAAAATAGCATCTGACATGGAAGTGCAGATGAAGGTATGTTACTGAATTCCTCCATGTGGAAAAAATTGCTCCTGTTGACATTTATCAACACTTGCTGAATGTTTATGAAAACCAACCAACGGATGTGAGCACAGTGAGGTGGTGGGTGGTGCAGTTAGCAGTGGTGACAATGATGAGAAACACAATTCGTGTTCCAAATGGCCATGCACATTTGTCACACCACAAAATGAGGAGCGCCTTGATCAGCTCATACACACAAATCAGTGGATTACAACCAGGCAACTGTGTATGGAGCTGAATATTGGCTTCAATGCACTGGAAATGACTGGAATAGGTCGCAACATTGGAATATCAGACAAACCATCAACTCTGACTGCTACATTTTGATGCTGACTAAGCTGAAAGATCAAATTTTCAGAGTCAGGTTAGAGAAGACAACAGCCTTTCACTTGCAACACAATAGTGCCAGGCCCCAAACCAGTCTGAAGATTGTGGAGCACACTGCCAATCTTGTCTGTACAGTCCTACCACAGCCATCAAGTAGTTTGGATTGGTGCCTTCTGACTTTCATCTGTTTGGGCTTATGAAAGATTTACTGTGATGGCAACATTTTCCTAACAACAGCATCATCATAGCAGCTGTGAAACACTGGGTCACCTCTGCTGGTGCAGATTTTTTTGAACATGGCATGCAGGTTCTTGTTTATTGCTGGCAAAATATACAGCTAATGGTGATGACTAAGTTGTACTGTTTTGTAGATGAGAATTTGCTCTATCAAATAGTGTTATTGTACTCTTTGTATCTGTTGTAGTTTTCATGGAAATAATAGGAGGCATTACTTTCAGACCAACCTACACATTTATAGAATGTAGAAGAGTAAAATTTAGTTCTGATGGATTAGTGTGTCTCAAACTATGCCAAAGTTGAACAGCTGTTAATGTTTTTCTATTGCAAACATGCCTTTCTTGAAATGTAAGGTGGAAAAAAAAGTCTAACCGGCTACAGTTTGCCTCCACCATCACAGATTCTATTTGCCATTAATTTTGAAATTCAGTCTGCAATGCCACCATCAAAATGTTTAGCAATTTAATTATAGAACACGTGTATTTTGTTATTCCCTGACTGGTAAATAATAATGTTTTTAACTATACAATTTGTTTTAAGAGCATCTTGACAGTATGAATCAAATAAATCAGTGTTTTATACAAAAACTAAAAAGTGAAGTGCTAATAAGGATCAATAGCAGGACTTTCAGATCCTATCTCAGAATGCTTTAAGCTTTTAAGCTGCAACTTGTTCTTTTTTATGAACCAGGCAGTAACGAGTGATGGACAGACACTTTTGCAGAAGGCTACACAGCTATTTGCTAGACGTGAACCTAGCGACAGAACTCAGGCTTCAACCTAGAAATGTTCTATGCTGACCTATAAAAACTAATCAGTAATGAAGACTGTCCCAGTGACTTCATCACTAAGCTAACTGTAGATTTACAGTGGATTCAAAATTATTTTGTAACATTATAGATATTTTCAAGGTTTTGATCAGGAAAATAAACCCTAAGCAAAGAAAAAAGTAACATATATTTCCCTTTCTCTCAGCATTGATTTGCTAGTATACAGTCTGTGATGTGCACTGGACTGGTCCCCATGTATTTGCTCAGAAAAGTAGGTTCCAAAAGGTATAGGAGAAGAGAGACAAGCAGCTTCAAAATCACGTTTTTCGTAGGGCACCTGCCTACATATGAAATGGTTTGTACTATGGTTCTTGTCTCAGAGATATATAAATCCATGTTACCCATTTTGTCTGTTCTCTAACTCACTGGAAGAATGAAGAGAATATGATTGTATTACCTTGAGAGAAAGCTGTAGCTTTTTTCTTAGTTCATCACTGAGTGGTTCATACTGGAACAGCTGACGGATTTGCAGTTTGTTTGGACATTTTCGCACAGGTACTGGTAAGCATGTCTCCTCTTTGGATCCAATGCAGAGACCCTTCCAAATGTGTGCTCTGACTGTGGTCTCCTTCTGAACATAGGCAAGAGCAAGCAAAAAAAGCAAGAGGCTATTTATATCACTGGGTAACTATAGATATCAATAATTCATGTTTCAGCTGAAAAGCACATGCTGTGCTTATAGCATTGGAGATCCAGTAAATCATGTTAGTACATCCTTGGGCATAATTTACAGATCCTACAATCTCTTCATCTGGCAAAAAAAACTATCCCTAAAACTGTTGCAATCACCTCAGCAAGCATAAAAGAAGCCCAAGTTGACTAGATTTTTTCCCAACACAGCCCACTTCTTGCTTTGTTTGCTTAATAAAATAAATTTAATTGCTTATTTAACTGTCACATTGTTTGGAGTTCCAATAACCTCTGTGACAAACATGGTACTGCTTAAGCAGTAAAAGACAGTTTCAAAACAATTATACCTCATAAGGAGAAAATGCATTCCAAGTTCTTGGCCGAAGATTTGGAGGAACAATACTCTCTGGTTCTTTCTTCATCACCCAGGGAGAGGCTTCAGACAAGGGGAAGAGGATGGTAATACTTACAGCACCTGGTTTGAAAGTGTATTTTGGTAAGAATCAGTTTGAATCCAAAAACAATGGGCAAGGGTCTCAGACATCCAGAAAAATATACTTTCCAGAAAAATATAAGTATAATGAAACTTATGATCGGATGTAAAACTCCAGGTGAAAATGTGATACCCAAGGCTATAGATAATATTGGATCACTGAGGTGATTATACAATAGCTGGACAGCTCTGGATTACTCAGCCTACATTTAACAACTGGCTACTTCTTTTAGGAAGCAGTTTGTTTGCATATTGTGTGGAAAAAAGGAAGAAAGACCACTGACTTGTGTGTATTGAACACTAATTTCAGAAGATATATATTAGATTCATACAAACATAGTTCCTCAATGTGCTTTATACATCACGGTCTGATCACCAGAATGATTCTATTGGAAATTATTTATTATTTCTTTTTACTGTTGCAATTAATTTTAAAGTGTTTCAAAATGTTTTTTTCTTACCCAGATCCAAAGTCTACTTAATCTACTATTATCTCTATCCAAAAGGTGGCCTTCAAAACTGATACTTCCACTGAGATGTTCTGTCACAATAATACAGAATTGTAACATCTTATTATCAAGGTAAATCTTGATAGGTTTTCTTGAATGGGATTTCCACCAGGTGCTTATCTTCTCCATCTTCCAGAGATTTCCACTTCCCTTATCTTTTTGGCTCCCCTAGGACTTTTCCTCTATTCCCATGAGAAAATCATTCCTTTCAGTTTATATAGAGGGGAACTAATCATTGTTATAATTTCTCTACATTCGTTTCTGTCATTTTCAAGATACATTTATTTCATTAGGTCTACCATGTCTAGGCTTTACATCTATCTTGTTAGGCCACCATATATTTACAGAAACACTATTTCCCACTAACTTCACAATAATAACCATTTCAGGATGTAACTTACTGCATCGGTGTAATGAGGTGGCTGTTGCCAGGTGCTACTGGAATCTCCCATTTCAGTCCTCTTTTTCCAGATTTTTAGTAATGTACATTTAATCTTTCTACAACTAGACTAAGGGACAACAGATTATGTTTGACTTCACTGATAAAGACAGCTATATTACTATATGAAGACTGCAAGATATTCAGTGTTTTTGATAGAGATACACAGAGGATTTATGAATCTGGCAAATGCTTTTGTTTGTAAGTGTGAGAGTGAATAAAGATATGCCAGTTGTTCGTTCACTTTCTTATCCTTTCAAAGCATCGTTCAGTTAATTCTCTGTTTCTCCAAGCTTTTGCACAAGCTCTCTTCCCTTTCCTTCAGTGCCAGGACAGTGGACAATTGCCCACACAGGGAAAACATTTACATATTTCCCATCCAAATGAGCTTTGAAACTTCTGACTCTACTTTTGATTATTTTTGTCACTAGTTTGTCAGAAAATGAACTAAATCTTCCTACCTGGATATCCTTGTACAGGTTCCTGCAAGACTGCAACAGTTGGATCACCACAGACCTCAGCAAGATACTCTTCCACATCCTTGCTCCGCAGGAGTTCGGTTCCTGAACCATCCATATGGATGATGAAGAACCTGGAGTGCCACAGAACTCTGATTGTGTTGTGTATAGGAGGCAAGGTTTTGACAACGGGGAAGGCTGCTCAGAGAGCAGTTCTGTGCCAGACACAGAACTCCAGCTGGCTGCACCATCCCCAGCCACACAGCTGAGCCCAAGCTGGGGGGACATTTCTGGGAAAGCATATTTAAGACAGGGTAAAATGCTGCACAGGCAGCGAGGGGTGAGAAAGATAGTATGAGAAACAATCTTGCAGACACAAAGGACAGAGGAGGATAAGGTGCTCCAGGTGCCAGAGCAGCCCGTGATACCAACCTAGGTGGGCCAGTTGATTGGCTTAAGGGTAGGACAGCTCTGCAGAGGAATCTGGATAGGCTGGGTCCAATCACATGCCATTGAACATGGCTACATGCCAGGTCCTTCATTTCTGTCACAGCAACCTGATGCATTGGTATAGGCTTGGGGAACATTGGCTGGAAAGCTGACCAGTAGAAAAAGGAGCTCAGGTTGCTGGTTGTCAGGCAGCCAGCAGATGGCCAAGAAGGCCAACAGCATCCTGGTCTGCATCAGTAATACTGCAGCCAGAAAGATCAGGGACATGATTGTGCCCCTGTACTCAGCATTGCATCTGGAGGTGAGCCTGCATCTGGAATACTCTGTTCAGCACTGGGCCCCTCAATACAAGAACAATGTTGAATTGCTTACACATGTGCAAAGAAGAGAAACAAAACTGGTGAAGGGAGTAAAAAACAAGAGTTATGGGGAAATGCTGAAGGAAATGGGGTTATTTAGTCTGAAGGAGACTGAGATAAGACTTTGCCAATCTTTCCAACAACCCTGCAAAGAGGTTGCAGTGAAGAGTGTGTCAAACTATTTTCTTGGGGAACAAGTAATAGGAAATCTCAACTTATGCCAGGGGATGTTCTATTTGGTTATTACGAAGAATTTTTTTCATGGAGAGAGTGGTCAAGCACAAAGTGGAATGGGTTGCCCAGGGAAGTGATGGAGTCCCCAACTCTGGAGATATAAAAGACATAGGGACCTGGCACAACAGGACATGGTTTAGTGTAGGTTAGCTTGACTTGATGATCTTGAAGGTCTACCATATTTCCTTAAGGAACTGTGGCCTTGGACTGCAGCATGTGGATAAGGAACATGCTGGAAAAGGGGAAAACTGTGAGAAGGAAGGAGAGGCAGAGAGGAATTGGGAGGGACCACAACCACAACCTCCGTTCCCCACCCCCTGTACAGCTAAGGAGGTGACAGGGAGAAGAAGTAGAGTAGTCATGTTGAGCCTGCAGAAAAAAAGGGATGGGGGAGAAAGTGTTTTTTTGTGTGTCCTTCTTTCTCACTATTCAAATCTTGGCAATAATTACATTACTTTTGCTTAAGTTGAGTCTGTTTTGCCCACTACAGTAATTTGTATGTGATTTCTGTCTTTATCTCAACCCACAAGCTTTTCCATCTTATTTTCTCCACTTGCCTCATCAAGGAGGGGGAAGTGAAAGAGAGGCTGAGTGGGTCTGGCAGCTGACAAGTGCCAACCCACCACCCTCATCAAATCCAAGACTTCTGAATTGTGTTCTTTTCTAGATGGAGAAAATAAGAAAGCTCTGTAATAACAAAATAAGAGAACAGAATTTCAGGACATTGACATCAAGTGCAGAAATACACAGTAATGAACAAAGAAAGTGCAAGTCTACAAACCCTGTACAAATACAGAGTAGCAAAGAAAGAAAGTGTAAACTTATCAACCTAGGGAAGTTTACCTGGGGACATGTTCATCACAAGAGATGGATTTGTTAACTTCTGGGACTACGGATGCTGAACTTTTGTTCTCCTTGCTGTCAAAGCCAATGCTTTGAACTAACACAGATGTGCTGCCATCAGCCATGACCTACAACAGAAATCATGCAAAATGATTTGAGATGCATGATGTATTTAAAACAGTAACTTGCTGCTGGACTGTAAGTATAATCTAGCTCAGTGACCAAAAATAAAACCATGTTGAGCAACCTGAAATTGACGAGAAAAAGAAATGAAGAAAACTGAAAACATAGTGAAAAAAGTGAAAACATTTCTAGGAAAACATGACATATCAGAAATGCTAATACTACATGCTGACATGCTTTGAGATTGTGAGTTGTCAAATGAGGTCATCTATGATTACATTACGTTTGCAATATATATATCTGCATGCATCAATAGGCAACTTCATATAAAAAATACACGCTGGGCAGGACTCTAAAGCTGGGTGCTTCCTATTAAACATAGATTCATAAGGTGATACTGGTACTGCATACACCAGCTCCATCACTTGAACACTCCTCTTATCCTCACACCAATGAAAATGGGGTCTTGAGAGTAAAATAGTGTGGGATAATGTAATTGAAATATACTTCATTAATGTCAAAACCAATGAAACTTGTTTACTCTTTGAATATTTTCCATGTCTGTGTCTTCTCGTATTGCATCTCGCCCTTCTCAGTACACCCCACGTTGCCTGTGATCACTGCTTTCATAATACCTTCAGCTGCCCCACAGCTTCTTCAACTTTTGTCTTTTGTTCTCTATGTACCAGCTGGGAAAAAGGTGGATGTTCTGATGCTGATGCCAATCAACTTCTATAATTTGAATAACATTGAGTTTGTAGGAAATTGATACCTTTTAAATTTCTACCCCTCCACTGATTATTCAAAATTTATTAAGGAGATATTGACAGATAAAATATATTTTTATAAGCACAATTTATCCAGCTTAGGGAACCAGGTTAAAAACTGCATCATAATGCATATGTCCAGTGCCAAACTGTATGTCTGAGAACTTTGAAACTACATGATATCCTCATTACTGTACATTCTATCAGATTTATCAGAGCACATGATGATAAATAAATAAATACAATCTGGAAAAATTGGGAGGATTATAATTGGATATCACATTTAGAAAATAACATGTATGTCACAGACACTTAAACTATCTATTTCCCGAACTTGTAGCAAAGTACTAACCTAGCTCAAAAACATGCCTTAGGTGTAGGTGTGGAAAGATCAAAGCACTAACAATATGACTTCTAAGACTGAATTTTACAACAATATTTTACTAGGCAGATTACAGTTTTTCTAAGGTCCTTCTGAAAAGCCAATATCCCCTCTAATTTTCTATCCACATTTGCAGAGCTGATTTTTTTGCTGTAATACAAGTCACAGTAACTAAGGTAACTTTACAGGTGAGGTAAACTGTAGATCTTGTGTTTCACTTCAACCTCTCTAAAAAGAGGGAAATACCACAAAAGTTAAACCTGAGACCAGTCACGTTTTCTCAGTAACACTTCAGAGTTCTGATTCAGGATCTATGCCTTCTGACTAGGTAGGCTACTGGGAGTGCCACAAGGCTATAAGAAGGCTTTGAGAGTTGTTCATGAGATAAAATTACTTAGAATGCATGAACTTGTTTATCTCCATGTATTTTACCTTGAAAAGATTTCCTTCAGGATCCATCATCTCACAAATAGTGCTGGAAGTATGTTTCATAATATATCTCCCTGCTTGTGTCCCTTCCTTCCTGGTGGTGAAATTGCAGACTTCATGGGTATAAACTGCTGAGCAATCCTCATCAATGAAAAGGGAGCCTGTCTTGATGGGTAGAACCTATTGCAGTAAAAATTGGGGATGCTTTAATGGAATGGATGGAGAGAAGGAAGGAAGATGAGGTCCAGGAGGCAAGCTAATGTTTGTATCTGTAGAATTTTGACTTCAAGAAAACTTAAGATTGTGAATTAAATTTACTACACAATTGTGAAGAATTACTTAAACATTGGCAGAGTATAAGGTTGAGAGAATCACAGGATTCGTGACATTTATAGAGAGGGGAATTAAAACAGTCAAGATGAAACCGATGACAGGTAATCTGGGACACAGACATAAATATCACTGTCACAAACTAAAAGTAACTTCTACCTGATATGTTCCCCGTGGCTTTGCTATAATGGATGTCCCATCTCCAAAAATGGTACAACAGGTACCATCCTCACAATTTGTTGTAACAGTAGCAAATTTGGGGTTTTCTACTCGAATCCTTTTTACTTTCCTTGTGATGGTTTCTGAGAGTTCATCTAGAAATTAATACAGAAAAAAAACTGGACCTGAGTAAATGAATTATAGAAAAGTCCTAGAATTCAGCTTGTATTTCTTTCCTCTGACCTTTATCTTCTCAGTAAAAGGTCCTTACATTTTTTTCATACTATCCTTTATCATCTAATTTTGTTATGCAGACACTGTACAACCTTAAAATTTTTGGACTGAGCACTGAATATAGAAAAAATTATCTGAGGATGGCTATACTTAATTTATCAAGTATAATCCTAACCATAATGATTCGGATATTTGTAACATACAAACTGGATCACTGAAATGTATTCTGCCTGTGATACACGCTCTAAGATATGAAGAAATTCTTATTCAGCAGCACAAGTCATAAAGAACAAATTGAACAGGTATATTAATTTGGCCATTGACATTTCTTGTTCACTAAATAACTTTCCCTACACAAGGCATGAGCCTTCTTGATTAGAATGAGCAAAAGCCTTTTAAAAGTATATTTTGACAGTTATCCCTATCACGAGATAAAACAAAGATAAATATTCCCCTTTTGTTTTTACCTGTTTTCTTGCTCTCCTGAGCTACAGGATGTTCTTCACAGTCTTGGTAAAAAGTTGTGATTCTAGTACCATCTGCATGATCTACTACTCTGCTGCCATCCAGCTTCTCAACAATTATCACTTCATCATCTCGTACAGTCATAACCTGAAATAATAAGGGAACGTGGATTTACATTAGCATTGAGATACCTGTGACAGCAACAACGGTAATGCAAAGCATTATGCATTATGTACTGAAACTCTGAAGAAGCTGGTCTGCTCCAACTTTATCTGTGTCAGAGACCAAGGATTTACATTTTCTTCAACATCTACAGCTTTTATATTAGTAATGATGTAATTACACAGTCTGTAGGATGTTTTGAAAATGTTTTCTGCAACAGATGATGGCAGCCCTGTCACATAGCTTAGTAGACAGTGGTATAACAACACAAAAATAGTATTACTGTTCCATCAGCTGGGTCAGTTGCCTGATAGAATAAGATTGGCTCCAGAACCATTTGCCTTCCTCCTTCAGTTCCCACTCGAATGCCTAATGGGGTTGTTGTTATCCAGGTTCCTGCTTGATTCTCCTTAGGTTGCTCAGGATTAACCAGACCCTGAGTAACGTCTTCAAATATTTCCTCCTTCTTTGGGTGCAATACGATGTTTTTGTCATTGCCTTTTCCTGCAGAAACAAAAAATTCTGTGTAAGACTTGGTATTGTCTAAGGGAAAAGACAAAATCAATCAACTAAAGAGTTTCTGTGAGTATTGGCTTTGATAGAATTGAAAGAACAATTTATCATAGAATCACAGTCTCAGGCGAGAGGGAAATAACAAGACCTATTATTCAAAATTGTTCACTTGAACCAATCTTGTTTAATATGTTTATTAACAACACAGGAAAAGTAAACAGGATGCTATGATATTCGATTATGACTTTATCATTATTATGATTCGATTATGGCTTTGGAACGTACCATGAATATAGAAGGGAATCTGAATGGCTTAAAAGGAAAAAAAAACATCCCGAACTGTCCCACTAGCTTGAGGACTAAAGTACTAGGAATCGATAAAGCCCAACAGAAATAAGTTACAGCAAAAAGGATTAAGACAAATGATTTCTGCTTCATACACATTTGAAACAGTAGAATGAGATAAAGATCTGGATATAGCATCCATGTAGAATGACTACAATTGTCAGCATGAAAGTACAGTGACAAAAAAGGCAAATACAAACCTAAGGTTCACCAGAAGTAAAGAGATGCAGATTAGACTGTGAAAGGCAATGAAGAGATCTTATCAAGAATACAACTGAGAATCTGATCACTCACATTAAGAAAGAGAACTAGACTAAGTGTGGGTAAAAGACAATAGCATGGCCTGGGTAGGAATCTAAAAGTTTACAGTTTATAAGTCCTAGGGAAAAAAAAAAGAAACAAAACAAAACAAAGTGTAAATATTCACCACAAATTTGTCAAGACTAAGTAGCAGAGAGGAAAGGTGGGGGGCAGGAGAGGGAAATCATTATAAAGGATAAGGAATAAAAGATATACACTGGTCACAGATATGGAGACTGAAAATTAGAAGATAGTTTGTCAGTTCTTAAACATGATTCTAGATTTCCTAAGGAATATCCTAAGAACAGAGAACTGGACTTGAAGATTCAGAAAATTTCTTTTTACAGACTTCTCTTTAGCAGCAATTTTTATTCACATACTTCCAATAAATTATAAGGTAATGTTGTGGCAAGTCCTAATCATTCTTTGCACTACTTAGCACTGAGAGTCGTGTAGGACCACACTGTGAGGTATGAAGCAAACACATATTTGCCTCCTTCTCTTTGAAATGGAATGACATGAGAATACTTGGACAGACCACAAGCTTATACAATCAAATAATGAATAAAGCAGGTGTCCTGGAATAGATACAGTGAGAAAGAAAAATACAGCAAGTCCACTGTAAATGGGACGTATCTCAATATAACAATTAAAAACTGTGTAACATGAAAGTAAAGATTTGATGTTCCTGGAGTTACAAGGCTTTATCTGAGAAGACTGTTACTAAATCACTCTGCTAGATATGTAGTTCTTACATACCCTTTTATTATTAGAGCTCTTAAGTGTTACAAGAAAGCTGGAGTAGGAAAGAAATGATCTGCTATGAAGATAACAAATAAGCAGTGTATAGCAGCTGAGTACAGATAAATTGCATTTTACACCAGCACAATTTTTAGACCAAAGAAAAATGCCCTTTACTGAGTATCATCAGCCCTGCTCACATTAAATCTATCCAAAACACTGGAAACGTTACCTTTCCTAGTGCTCATCTCAGCTAAAGGTTCTGGTTCTGATAATGGTTGCATGTTTTCTGGAATTACAGGTGGTGGTAGGACAGGGCCAGAATCAGGACTTCTACTCACTGTGCCATCAGCAAACAGAATCTACAGAAATCAAAGACATATTAGGGACTAAAATAATTTCAAACACTAATAAGAAGTCTCAATATGTCACAAATACAATAGTCACTAGAATTTAGCATGCGATGAAGGAAGAAATGTAAGGCTCACAGAATAAATGCAAAAAATAAAGAACCTATATTAAAAAAAAGAAAGGACTGCTAATTAGTTCAGTTCACATATCTAATCAGCGGGGATTCTATTTAGTAACAGGTAGGCATGCATAAAAGCAAAGGTTTTGAGTGCTTAAGTGGTCAAAGGTTGATATCTTTTGATGAATACCACTTTTCCTAACAGCAGTAATGCATCTGTGCCACTGTATTTATCTGTATTCAGGTATTCCACACGTCTAGGATTGCTGCTAATTCTTCTAGCCATCAAGTCTAACAAAAAGAATTAATGGTTATTTATTTTACTATAGCTGATTTCTGAGATCTACTGTCCATAATATCTAACTCTTGATATGCAAGTTTCCTTGTGTGATTAAGCACAGAATTACCTCATTAATCTCTGAACACATTTACAAATAGAAAACAGATATACTGTGGAGAAAACATACAATGTGGAAAACATATGGACAACATACGGTCATATCTCAAGACCTACAGTTCCTGTAAGATAATTAACCATTTATTTTTCTTTCTGAGTGCTTGTCTATATGCTTTCCATTCTTCTATAACTCATAGATGTTAAATTAATACAAAGAAGGAGTCATCTAGAATCTGTGTATACAAAGACTGTGGTATGACCATCCTAGGCACACGAGCCCTGAATTCTTCAGTCAGGAGACTGCATCTGGAGGATATACAAATGAAAGGCAGCTAGTTTCTTTGCATACTACTGAAATTGGTATGTTTTTCTGAAATCTTGGATAAATGGTTTAAGATTTAATGTAACGAATGAACGTAACAAAGTTGTACTAGCAGTTGTGGCCTACTTAAACTGTTTAAAAAAAAAAAAAGAGGAAATAAGGAATAATTTTGACAGTTTCTGAGTCAAAGCACACATCTTTTCATCAATTTGATTACAATACACAGAGTATTAGACTTAGAAAAGATAATTGGTTGTTGACTGATTATAGTATCTGCAAAAGTGGCATCTAACTTATGTTACCTAAAAGGTACCAAAATTCTGGGCAACCTAATTTGTGCATAAACAAAGAAGGAACTTAGGAATACAGTCTTTTTGATGAAAATTTAGGATACCAAAAGGTGTCTACAGGACTGACAAGTGTATCTTTTCTTAACCTTGTACGAAAAAAGATACGGATGCATTTGTGTCACCAAAAATAAGAAAGATGAACTAATACACACTTCAGATGATTCATGTAGGTCTCAGAACTATATTATGTAGTTCTCAAAACTATACTAAGCTGTTTCCTAATTCCAAAATTGCCTAAAATGTTCACATGCCTAAAGTTTTCACCATTAAAATTCCTTGTGCTTGTTATGGTATCTGATTCTGAACAAAGCCAAGAGCATTTTAGTCTTGAAACTGCTGCAAAATTCATTGTTACTCAATTCCAACACTGACAAACTATATACTTATCTATGCCAGCTGAGAAAGCACAAATTCAATGATAACACTATACAGGCTGCTTCCAAAGACGCTGCAAAACATACCCAGGTAGATCCATCCATCATGTATCTTACAACAGTTCCTTGACTGGTGATGACTCTTGATACCTCTTGTTTTCTTTGACTTGTCACTGATGCATATAGACGAGAGTTGTTCACGTTCTGGGGATAACTTTGCCTAACAAGAATTTTCAAAGCTGGTTGCTTGGCATTTTCTCTCTTGGTGTTGTCTTGTTTTATTTCACCTTCTATAGCCTCATGTTCCTTCTCTTCGCTTTCCACAGCCTTCTCTCCCTTCACCTCGTTTGCTTTGGCCTCATCTTTTTCAGCCTCCTCTTCCTTGGCTTCATCCGCTTCAGTCCGCCGTTTCTCGCCCTCCTCTTCTCTGACTTTATATGTTCTGATCTCACCTTTCTCAACCTCATCTTCCTTAGCTTCAACTGTAGCAGCTGCACCTTCCAAATCTGAAAACAAATTCTGAATTACTTAGTACACACGTTCCAACAGTGTTAAACACCCAGTATCGAGTTGTTTACATATGATATTCAACTTAAGCTACTAAGACTAACTCAACTTGGCTTCTTCTGTAACCCACAGAGAGAGGGACAGTTTCTGTTTCTTGGATAGCAATTCAAAGCAGTTATCTACTCAGAAACTCTGCATCGTCCTATTGATGTGTCTTTCCCACATGAAAAAAAGGAAAATTTTAGATTGGTTTAGTATGGATGCTGAACTTTTAGAAAACTGAAATTAGATAGAGGAATCTCCAAACTGGCTCTAAAAAGGAAAAAAAATTACTGAATTTCGCCAAGTTTGAGATGGAATAGAAAACGAACATAGATATTCTGTCTACTTCAATAAATAAAGTTTTTAGGACAAATTATGGACACGTATTGAGTGTGCTACTGAGTATAATAGGCAACTGTGTCAAGAGATTGCATGTACGTGTATGTCACAGCTCTGTTCATCTCAGCCATTCAATATTTGAACTTACACTCCTTGTCAAATTGTGTGTTTGAAAATTCTCTGTATCCTTTTTACTGTACTTCATATCACATTGATCGTAGCACATTTATAAACTAAATGTGCTAAACTAAATTTATAGCACCAAACTGACAGAATATTAATACTGTATTCAAATTAAAATGTTACTTACGTTGTGATTACTATTAAACAGACTTTATAACAGAATTTGAAATCTGAGATGTTAAATCTAAATCTCTCAAGACAAAGAAACATTTTTATCTGTAATTTTAACTTCTTTAAAAGGTTCTTATTCTGTAGTGGTTCAAAAAACTAGCCTTCAAAACTTTCACCAAGGAAAGTTAATGCTAGTCCATTAGGACAGGAGACGTTGAGGCTTCGGAAAGCAAGAGCAGCTGACATCACTTTTGTTTGGGAAGCTGGTTCTTCTACTTCCACCTGCAGGAAGTAACAAACCTTACTTAGTTTTATTCCACATTTATAAAGACTTAAGACAAAATTAGACTAGATTTCAGTTTTACCCAAACATAACAAAATGTACGTTCTGTCACTGATTTGTAGCATTTTGAAAGTGTATGGATTCTGAAGTGAAAGCATTAGCTTATTTTCTTTGATTATGCTATCTTATTTTATTCATCTTTATTAACCTTTGAAGAAAAAACATTCTTGACTGTATTTATTTTGCCGAGTTGTTAAGCGATCTTATGTACAGTGTCAGGATGAAATAAAAGGTAACATGAAGCAGAAGAGCACTGAGTTTGTATCAGCTATTCTAACTTCAACAGTTAAAAAAGTGCATAAAATAGAAGTAACACTACATCAAGTCTGATGGATGTACAGCAGACGAGAAAAGAACAGGAAGGAATGCTTGAGAGACAAAAAGTGTAGTCCTCTGCACTACTCCGTAGTACGAATAGAAAAGATGAGGATGACCGAAATGATGTCTGAAGGCTCTAGAAAATACAGGAAAAATACAACAATGGATCCTTTGATGTCAACCTCACAGATAAGTATGTGACAATGAACTACGCTATACCAATAATCATAAGATGAAAACAGTTTTGGGTTGCAGGTGAAGGTAAGAGAGCACTAGTCTCTGTATTATCCTGTATTTTTAATTTATATGGATGGAAATATAGGGGAAAATAGGGAAAACAGGCAGATGCTTTGCCACATCTTTTTAACAAGGGACATTTTATGGTTACCTTACAAAATATTACTGGGTCGTTAAGGCTACCCTCACTATCCTAAAATCACAGCCATACAATCGTGGGGTAGACATCACAGAATAGGGTGGAAGTAACCCTCACTTGTCCTCTACTTCCCCCTTTCCAATGGTAGAAAAAGTATAACTATATCATTAGAGAAAACTGGTAGTATAACCTATCCTAAACATTTCCAGGGCTAGACATTTCCTAGTTTCCCTAGGCAAATCTATTCCAATTATTAATCTTACTGAGATTTCCCTATTGGTCAGCCTGAACCATTCTGATAAAAAATTAATTTACTTCTGATGATTTCTTCTGATTATATGGGCTAGCGTAAGAGATCTTGTTGTCCCTCTACTGCAAGCTGTTCTCTCTCTCAATTTTGGATCAAACAAACCCAAACCAAGTCTTTTAACCTTTCCTCACTGGTAAAGTTTTCAAGACTTCGGGTTGTTTTTAGTACTTTCCTCAGATGTATTTAATGTGGCCCATATTTTTCTTTACCAGTACTGATGGGAAGAATAATTTTACATACTTAACAAGTTATACTCTTGTTTAGTCATCTTAGTATGGTGTTTGCCCTTCTCACAGCAAGATGGCATTACTGACTTGTATATAAATTTTCATTCTTTTCAACTCTCAGACCTTTTTTTTGCATTATTGTCATTGATAAAATGGTCGTACATTCTACAGATTACTGATTATTTATACACAATTACAGAACCTAGTACGTTTTTACTGTTTTCCAGACACTGTTTATGTGAATTTGTCAAGTTCACTTCAGACTCTAAAGCTGTCCTTCAAAATATTTGCAGATTCACACAACTAGGTACTGCATGCACTAGCAAAGGAACATTGCTTGTCTTACAGACTTTTTATTAGAACACAAAAAATAATGGACTGAAGACATTCTAAATGAAACAGTAAGAAATTTTTTGGAAAGAGATGGAACATAAAGGTTATGACAGAATTTTATTGGTAGGGGAGTGTGTGTGGGGTTTAATGTACCGTACAATTGTGATATGTTATTGTCAGTGCTGTCTAGCAAGTTCCCTTGCTCGAGCTCTTCAAGTATCTAGTTAAATTTGAGAAAATTAGGCCAGCAGGGCTTTTTGCGGATATGGGCAGAATCCAAGTTGAAAGAGCTACAGCATAGCATCATTTACTTGGTACCACAGAGAAGCATAGCTATTTCATATCAGAGAACCTTCCATGGATATCCTAAAAACATTCAGTATCTTTTCATTCTTGTCTTTCTTACTGCCCTCCCCTGTAACTTGATGTGCACTGGAAACTATCTCCTGTTTCAAATATATCTATACTGCATTTTACCCCCTCCTTTCCATGTTGCCTACTCTGCATCTTTGAACAGCTCGGCCCAGCTCTGTTAACATAATTACAGTCTTCATTCAACCTCCCTTGCCAAGAGGGCTAAGAATACGTATCATAAACTGCTGAAGAGGGAATAGCAGGAGTGGTTTTGAAATAAATGGTGAAGTGACCAGTGTGACCCATTTCTCCCTCACCCACGTTTCCATGCCAAAAAAGTGTTTTCTCACAGAACTTTGTGGAAGAATTTCAAGATCAAATGCTAAGCACTTTTGAGGCACATGGCTCTGTAATTTCTACCATACTTTGTGATAAGCATTCCATAAAACAAATGCAGAATCTACTTCTAAAATGTCATCCATCCTTTCCAAAGCCCTGTCCTGAGGTAGAATTCCTTCAGCCATGGACAGAAGCAGCTTCCTAATTGCTGGAGCCTGGCTTGTGATTTGTTGAAAAAAATCAAACTGCATAGCAAGCTTTTTCAAAAATGATAACATTAATTTGGCTAAATGCTGAGTGCTGTACTTGGGTCATAACTCCAGGAAGTAGTATATGCTTGAGGAGGAGAGGCTAGAAAGTTGTCCAGCAGTAGAGAGCCTGATAGTGTTGGTTGACAGCTAGTTGAACACGAGCAAGCAGTGTGCCCAGGTGCCTTGTATCAGAAATAGTGCAGGTAGCAGGACTAGAAAAGATATTGTCCCTCTGTATTTGGTACTTGTGAGACAACATCTTGAATACTGCGTTCAGTTTTGGGCCCCTCAACACAAGAAAGAATGTCGCTGGACCACATTCAGAGAGGGCCAACAAAGCTGGTGAAGGGACTAAAAAACAAGGATCTGAGCAGGGGCTGGGTTGGAAGGAAAGCCATTTGGATGTGTTTTGCAACCTGCCGTTTTAGTTAGAATATTGTCATCTCTTGGCTGCTTGCAGACCTCCAAAGAAATGTTGTGCCCTGCTAGAAAGAATTTCTTCATGGTTAAACATCAGAATAGGCAGTCCATGAAAGTGGTGGAGTTACCATTTCTTAAGTTATTTAATGGATTTGTAGACATGGTTTTTAGGGACATGGTTTAGTGATGGATTAGGTAGGGTTAGGTCGACAGTCGGACTTGATCTTTTCTAACTGATTCTAATGATTCTATGATTCCAGTTTGGTTGGCTGAAGACTTTCCAATACAGATTTCAGAAAGCACAGAGAAGTTCTCTTATTTGGTTAAAATAGAAAGTTTAACCACAGAAGAAGTTTTAACCATGGAAGTTCTGTACAAACACAAGGAATAATTTCTTTACTATGAGAGTGATGGATCACTGGAACAGACAAGAGCAATCTGTTTAATCTCTCTCTGGAGATATTCAAAACCCATTAGGAAGCTTTCCTGTGTGGCCTACTGTAGGGAACCTGCTTTAGCAGGAGGGTTGAACTAGATGATCTAAATGTCCCTTCTAACCCTTGCAGTTCTTAATTCTCCGTTGCTGCATAAAAACCAATTTCTAGAGCAGCCCTAATCAGTGAGAACGTAACAGGTGTAACTGTAAAACCAAAATCAATGCAAGTATGTGGATCACTGCTCTACATCACAAAGCTTTAAAAGCTACCTTAATTAACAGCTACCAATATTTACACTTGAGAATCATAGAATTGCTCAGGTTAGAAAAGACCTTAAAGACCATTGAGTCCAACCATGACCAAAATGATTTTTATACAACTGGAGAAAGTAAAGCATATCCTTAGAAGCACCATAAATTATTAAGAATTTGTTGAAACACTCCTCAAAATCCTGAGAAGAATATATATTTCTATTACCCAAGTGTAGGTATTTAAATTTTTGTTTCTTTTCTACGTTCAGCGGACAATCATCTGTTTTCTTACCTTTTCTTCTTGTTTTTCATTGTTGTCTGGTGGTGAAGAGCTTATTCTGCTACCGCTTGATTTTGTAGATGGCAGAGATTTTCCTGATTTTTGTTTGACTGATTTGTCTTTTTTTCCTGAAGCTGATGTAATGGAAGGAGGAACAGTCGGAATATGAACAGAAGGAACGTTCAGAATTGCTGCTAAGATGGGATCTGTTTCATCATCTAAAGAAAGGGAAAACATTATTTTTAATGCAATTAAGCTTCATAAATGTAAATTGTTACACTCGTTTTTGACAAGATTTTATACTCTAAATTTTATCCTTGAAATAATGAATTCAGTGGTATCAGATAGACGGTCTGAACATATTAAATTATTTGGAATGGGCTATTTGACAACTGAAAAGGAATCTTGAAACTATTGTTCCCCTTAGTTTGGAATTGGCCTCAAAATAGAATACACAACTTTTTAATTCTGTTTTAACTCCAGAATACTTACACACATGGAGAAATTTTGAGTCTAATGCCTAAGATAAGATGGATGGAGCATAGACTGACTCCAGCAATTTTGGGTATCATAGCTCTATTCTGTTTCAATGATTCAGAAATAATTTTTTTCTTAAGTTCTCCCATTTCTTAAAAGTCAAGCATTACAACAGTCTGCTATGTTGACATTAAGTATTCGCATTACGTTCTGAAACAGTGACTTGAAAATAATAAGATATTCTGTGAGGTAGGTGACTGTCCCCCTCTATTCTGCCCTTGTGAGCCCCATGTAGAGTACTGCATCCAAGCCTAGGGCACAGGAAAGACATGGAGCTTTTGGAGAGGATCCAAAGGAGGGTCACAAAGATGATCCAAAGGCTGGAGCACCACTCCTATGAAGATAGGCTAAAGGAACTGGGCTTGTTCAGCCTAAAAAATTGAACGCTGCAGGAAGACCTCATTGTGGCCTTTCAGTATTTAGAGGGAGCTTATAAACATGGGGGAAAACAACTTTTACACAGGTAGATAGTGATAGGACAAGGGGGAATAGTTTTAAACTAAAGGAAGAGAAATTTAGATTAGATGTCAGGGGGGAAGTTTTTTACTGAGAGTGGTGAGGTGCTCATCAGACAGGCTGTGTGGAGAGGTTATGGATGCCCTGTCCCTGGTGGTTTTAAGGCCAGGTTGGATAGATCCCTAGAGAAGGACCTGGGGGTCCTGATGGACAAGAGACTGAATATGAGCCAGCAGTGCGCTCTGGCAGCTCGAAAGGCAAATGGGATCCTGGGCTCCATCAGGAGAGGGGTGGTCAGCAGGGACAGGGAGGTGATTGTCCCTCTCTACTCGGCTCTTGTGAGGCCCCATCTGAGTACTGTGTCCAGGTGTGGAGCCCTCAGTACAAGAAAGACACTGAGATTTTGGAAAGGGTCCAGAGGAGGGCGACTAAGATGATCAGGGGGCTGGAGCACCTCCCCTATCAGGACAGGCTGAGGGAGTTGGGTTTGTTCAGCCTGGAGAAGAGAAGGCTGCGGGGTGACCTCATTGCAGCCTATCAATACCTGAAGGGAACCTACACCCAGGAGGGAAGTAAACTCTTCAAAAGGGCTGACAACAGCAGGACTAGGGGAAATGGTTTTAAGTTGAAGGAGGGAAGATTTAGGTTGGATGTTGGGGGGAAGTTCTTTACTGGGAGAGTGGTTAGGCCCCGGAACGGGCTGCCCGGGGAGGTTGTGGATGCCCCGTCCTTGGACGTGTTTAAGGCCAGGTTGGACGGGGTCCTGGGCAACCTGATCTGAATGTGTATGTTTGGTGGCCCTGCTAGGCAGGGGGGTTGGAACTACATGATCCTTGGGGTCCCTTCCAACCCGGGTGATTCTGTGATTCTGTGATTCTGTGATCCTTGAGATCTGTTCCAACCCAAGCCATTGTATGATTCTACGATTATCTCAGAAAACAGCCTTTGGAAACCTTTAAAAAAATTTAATATATATAGCAAGCTTGATCTGCTTCATAGTTCCTGAAACTCTGAAGTTTAATGAGAAGTCAGTCATTGCAAAAGTGTCTTTTGGAAAACTTTCAAAAATCCTTTTTTCTTTTTTGGTAAAATTACTTCTTAATTTTGCTTCTTACAATGAGCAATGTATTTTAATGTGAAAAACTAATAAGTTAGGCAAAGAAAAGTTAATGAACTCATTGACAAATTGCAAGCCAACCTGGAGTTAGACAAAGGAAAAAAATTACATACGGAAGCATGCTAATAAAACTATTCTGGCATGAGGTCACAGGGTCTTCTGTAACGTAGACAAAGTGTTAATACATCTTTGGCTCAACAAGCTAAAAGGTAGGCCCAATACCTACTAAACGCACAGTTTCCAGGGAAGTTTTGACTTATATGCTTTTAGCTCTGCAGATAAGAAGACGCTTAAAACACCCCAAAAAACAGATTCTAATCCACTAGAAAGGCTGTTTGTGTGCTCAGGAACATTTGCCTTATGGATGATTCTGGATTTATGAGAACTGCAAAGATGACACAAAATTTGACAATCTAAGACTGAAAGAAACTATCATCACCAGAAGATCATCTAATGAGCAGTCCACAGAAAACAAGTCTTCCACCTCAGGTTTTAACCTAATTCTTCAATCTCAGCTTCTGTCTTGATGCTTGCATTAGGGAAATGCAGCAATATCTGAATACATCCATAGCCTTCAGCCTGACAGAAAAATTTAGATCACCTTGAGGACTTTTAAGTACCCATTTTCAATAGCTGATGCATGGCTGATGATGGAAAGATGAACAAATCTGTTTTATTTGTAATAAGCCAGTGATAAGTTCTCAACTAATTATATAAAATCAGAAAGTTTAACGTTCTCAATGGGGACCATGTGATGTAAATTTATTAGAGAACACGACTGTGAAATAAACCACAGAAGTATCAATCTATAGGTGGATGATTAGTAGAAACAGCTGATGAATAATCTTTGGCAGAGGTAGTTCTCTACTGAGAAGCATAATAGCTAAAACGAAGGACTGGAGGAACTAGCTTTTAAAATCATTAGTGAATGTGATCCATCTTATCAAGTTTGTATAAAAATTCAGGTGATCACTGCAAACTAGTTACAAACAAGCACTTATTTAGGTATAAAAGCTGTTATAGGCTCTCAGTCTCTGAGGAAATTTCATCTACTCTTACAACTCTGGTTGTCCTGAAAAAAGGATGACACTCTGAAGGCAGCAATGGAAGAATGGATTGTCATGACAGAGAGCAAATATCTTCAGAAATCTTGAGAATTATGGGAAATTCCAGAGGACTATCAAAGCAGGGTAGGTTCCTTTCCTGTTTAAAACAAAATCAGATCTCTAGGACTTGGGAGTTGTACTCAGGATTTCATCAAGGCTCAAACTGCAACTGCACAGTTTTCATAACATCCAGATGCAAAAACTCCAGAAGAGCTCAAGTAGTTTAAAGTGATGAAGAGCTTACTTACTAAATCTGAAGTTAGATTTGGGTTAAGCTAGAGAAAACAATCTAAAAACTAAAAGTTGTCTTTTTTTTTTTAACCTTAGAAGTTTAATATTAAAATTTAACCAAGAAACAAAAAGCTGGCAAACAATCTGAGTCCTTCTCTCATCTGAACTTCAAAGAGGAATATGGAAGAGGTAAAACAAGGTAAGGAAAAAAAAACACACAAAAAAAGAGAATTTGAGAGGCTCCAAAAAATTATTTCAATGACACAATTTAATCTGTCCATGGAGAAAAGCTCTGGATTACATGCCATTATAATTCTAATTTAGGAATGGATGATGTGCAAAAACAGACTAAGCCCGAGTGTTTCTGGTTAGTATGCTTCTGAGCTCTTACAACACAAACACCCACAAGGGAAATGAAGCCATAAGCAAATGATTGCAGGAAAACTGCAAACGCTCAAAGAATGCCAGTCAGCACTGCTGCATTAACACTCAATATGGCAAAGATTATTCTAATGCAGAACAGGTTGCCTATTGGATATGTGAAAAAAGCCTGAACATCACAGCTGATATGTAAGTGTTTAATTAGACAACTCATTTTTATGCCAAAATACAAGAGTTCTCACAGTCCACTACATTGTGAATGCTATCTTTGCCCAATTTTAAATAGTTCTTCTTTAGAAAATCACTTGGAGAAGATATTTGAATAATTAAAATGGAGTATATAGTTGAATGGTTTACCACAGTCCACACAAAGGTGCACTCAATTAAATATTTTCATATTTTAAGAACTGAAAAATGCTGGGATTATTCTCTGATCAGAAGAGGGTTTCACTTTTATCCGTGTGATGGTTTCAGTGGCCTTTCAAATGCAATGGAAACAAAAAGCTCTTGGTAAAAGCAGATGCTATTTTCACTGTGGTTTTGTGAAGCAATTGCTTCCAGTTGGTGAATGTGTTTATTGAAAAGCTGAGAGAAATCCCTCATTATGACTGCACAACTAGAACCTACAGGCCAACTCCTAACATAAAATGAAAATTCCATAATCACCTACATAAGTTAATGAAAATATTATTTCTTGGAAAACCAAAAAGATTCCTCAACAAATCACATTTTCTTTGGCTCAAATTAATTTGCTGATTTTGCTGGACTACTTAATAACAATACTTGCAAATTTCTCCCTCCACTGCTCTGCTTTCACAGTAAGTAAAAAAGCATGGAGACCTCTTTCCATTTTGAAATTTAAATCACTGAACATTCTTGACAATGTAATCTCATCTCAAGCTTTGCTGAAAATTCCCCACCATGTGGTAACAGCTGCTAAGAAAGGCAGAATTGCATGCAACAAATTATTGAGTTAAGGGGTGCATGAAAAATAAAAAAAGAAGAAAAAGAATTCCCCCTTTGGTTCTCAAATATCCTCTTCTATTTGCTTATTTTACCTGCCGTCTTCCCTGTAGGTCCATAATAGCTCAGGGACAGCTGGATTCCATTTTCTAACGTGGCTGAAAAAGATCCAAACTTGCTCACAGCTTTCTTTTTATTTTTAATTTTTCCTTAAAAAAAAAAAATCAGAATTTTAATGATAGCAACGCACTGCAGAACCATCTGACTTGCAAACAAATGACTGATTTGAACAGTGGCACATTAATCTGGATGACTAACCTGTAAAACAAATTAATATAGAGCAAGGAAAACTTTCTAATTAGCTAGGTGAATTAATAGCAACAATTAGTGAAAATTCTTTGTGAACTTAAACAACAAATGAAACAAGTTCTGGAGTCAAGGATCTTCGTTTCCCTTCTTGGTTGACAATAATGCTGAACTGCTCATTTCTATCACACAGGGGATTCCTGTTTAGATAGAAGGAAAGCCTCCCATTGGTGTTGAATGAATAAAAGTGGCTTCAGATGCTAACACACTGTGATTGAAAGTGTCACCTGACAGACGTTAAAATGACATATGACAACTTTCAGAAGGGTGGACAAGAAATGTCATCTGTGGAAGGGATGCAAATTTTCTATTCATCCAACCTACTGGTGACAGCTGCTGCCAAGGAGAGGAGCAGGAACAAGATGCTGTCTAATGGTAAAGAGTAAAAGAACTAAAACTCCTACCTGAAGTTACACTTTTTCAATGCTCTCCAGATCTGCATGAGCAATTCTGCAGTGTTTAGGGCAGAGAAATACATATCGAATCATTACAGACCATCTTCCTTCTTGGAACCACCCCCTCAGCAGGTTACAGAAAGGACTCAAGTTCTTTACAGAAAGAACGGTGAGGTGCTGGAACAGGCTGCCCAGAGAGGCTGTGGATGCCCCGTCCCTGGAGGTGTTCAAGGCCAGGTTGGATGGGGCCCTGGGCAGCCTGGTCTACTATTAAATGGGGAGGTTGGTGGCCCTGCATATGGCAGGGATGTTGGAGGTTCATGATCCTTGAGGTCCTGTCTAACTCTGGCCATTCTGTGATTCTGTGACTGCGATTCAATACTTGTGGCATATTTCTAAATGACACTCACAAGCAATAGATACAGCTGAACTGCAGAAAGGATATGTTTCTACACCAAAGGTCCTGAGAAAGCACTAATTCTACAGCTATATGTCACACAAAAGACGACTCAGTTCAAAGTGGAAAGACTTTTCTTTTCAGAGCAGAAATTTATTCTGGGTATTGTAAAGAATTGTTTGCATCCTCTTAGTCTTTCCCAGGCCACATTAAGATCAGATGGAGTCCTACACTAAAAATGAGAATTCTTCTCCTAAGGAATGGTGAATTTTTTCAGTGACTTCCTTGCTTAAAAAAGTGGTTAGCATCTGTTGTCCTGCACTATGCTTATGTCTACGCTTTAATAAGATTTCTGCATGAAGCTTAAGTCAGCAAACTGGATTACTATTTAACCTTTTGTTTTTTAATGACTGAGTCTCACTCTGATCTCAGATACAAAGAGTTGTCTCACCCTGTAAGCTGTCATTCCAAATAACACAGTTTTCAAGGGAAAGGACAGAATGGAGCATCCCTCTTTACCATCTTTTTCATCTCCTGACTCAGAAGGTTCAAAGATCATTTCCGTTCCAGCAAGCTGGGGCAGTACTAGATCTGCATGTTGCCAAGACTCCCTCAAGGACTTGAGCTGGAAGACTGGTCACTGAAAAAAATATTTCTACATCTTTTCTGGACTTCTCATTTGGTCAGTAAATTGTAAAACATAGTAGTGACCAGAGAAGTACACATTCATTCTACTTTGTTTTTTTGGACGAGTGGTGCAAATAGCTGAACATTTCACTTATACCTCACATTCACAGACATCCTGATATCTTTATAATTCTGAATGATGACTAATAACATACATTCTTGTATACATTCTTCATTTGAAAGAATGCATCTATTCACAGCAGCACTGATCTTATTTACTCTTTGCAATTAGAAATTTATTTTATGTTAGTTGATAAGGTTTACATCTGACTACTAAGTACATCAAACTATTAATTTTTTTTAATGAGTGATGTCAACCCACTAACCTGGTGCAGTTTTCTGTTCTTCGTTATTTTCATGCACTTCAATTTCTGTTAAGTTTTTCTTGGGGTCTGTGATATGAATGAAGAAGTTGTGATTGTCCTTTACCACTTTCACCTTTACCAAAGTTAGACCTACAAAGCAATGGAATACTGTTAGACTTCAGTACTGATTTCTGTCCCCCAGAAAAGCCTGCACCTGCAACTATAAGTCATACAAAAATAAAATTATACCCACAAAAAGAAGTGGGCCCAATTTCTTACTATTAGGCAAAGACGACCAAATTAAGTTTATCTGAATTTAGATTATCTTACTAAACGTATAGAAAACTTTCTGACAGTTACAACCAATAGACTGTGGAACAACCCTGTTACTTACACTGGACAATTGACTGGGATATGAATTCATGGAATACATTGCATTGGCTGCCACTGAACAATTCTATTTTTTAATACTTTATGAATTTGTTAACCTACTACAGAAAAACTTAAACTTCAGCGGCAATAAAATCTAACATGGAATTACATGGTACTGCCACAGTATCTTTAACAGAATTTCTACTACTGAAATGCAAAAAAGCATTTATGGATAAAGGAAACTTTGTCATCAGCTATTAAGTGAGACAAAGCAAAGTGCTTTGTATGTATAAAATAATCACCTTTTACAAACTCTATCTTCTCTACTTGAATCTGTCCTCCATCAGATGGATAAAGATAGTGATTGATTCCAGATACTTGAATGAGATTCTCCCCTGTGTTGTAACCAAGAAACTGAAAAAAATGCAAGTTTTGGACTGTGGGTAAATGAGAAAGGCAAAAGTTGTAAAAGGCAAAAGTTGTGAAGTAGGGTTAGGGTAATCACACTAACATTGTTCGGATCAATATTTCTTGTTCAGAGATCTAATTGTGACTTTAACAAATATATGGCATGTTACTCTTACACCTGAGTAATATATCACTTTCTAACTAAGTAACTTGTTTCACATGAGTGTAGAATCTAGTTATTCAGTTGTACATAGCCACCATGGGAACTAAAAAGTAGCAAGTAGTCTGGTGGCTTAATAAATAAAAGAGAGAAAGAAAAATTCTGGCCAAATACAAAGAGATAAAATACAAAGTACAATGCCATGAGATTTGTATGTCCAAACCAAATCTGATAAGGATTCTGATTTCCAGCCCTGGATTTTGGAATTCAGACATGGAGTGTACTGTTAGGCAAGTTCAGATCAGAAATTTACATAGTTATGATTTTGTAGGGTGTACTCAAGCAAGCTCAGACTAAAGTATACTGACTCAAGGAGGTCACTTTATCTGCAGTACATAACCACTGTTTATATCTAGGAAATAGAATTCTGTGCCATAAAGGAACTCTAAGCTTCCTTATTTACATTCCTAAATTTCAAAGAGATGTAAGTAATGAAAATAGGAGAACTACTTTCATGAATCTGAATCTTCTGTTTTTGTAGATTAATGTCCAGCAAATTTCAAGGAGAAGTGGGATATTATCCATAACTGTCATTTCCCAGTTCTGCAACAATAAATTGCTTTTGGAATATCTAGTCTAATACTTGTTTTGCAGGTCTATAGTTTCTTGGTGTATAGTGAGAAGAAAACTCTGGAATGACAGTCTTGGATGTAAGGCTTACTCTGCAAATAAAATCCAGTGCAAACTGCCTAAAAATGATTTGGATACTATTGGTAAAGAGTTCCCCCAGTAAGAAATCTCTCTCTGTTAGTGTAACAGACAGAATAGCTTGTATTATGGCACTCCAAGGACATGAATTTTGAAACAGGAAATGGAAGAAACAGTAGATTCCTTTTATTTGATTTCCAATGTGTATAGCCAAAACTTCAGCCAGGTCTAGCAGTCCCCAGATAAATGAATTGGAACAGGTCCTCCTACCCTTCCTACACTCTCCCATAAATGACACTTCTTTAGGCAAAATTCATCCTATGAAAATACTAACCAGGGACACAAAACCAATATCAAAAATATCAAAATATCAAGTGTTTATGTCATACACATTTAAAAACATCCAAGTTAATTAAATAGTCTTAAATAACAGAAGCTGCATTTCAAAACTTTTAGGAAGCAATCTGATGCGAAAATGATAGAATTGAACAGGACCTAGCTATGATTAATTAGTCCTGCACTTCAGTTTCATAAAGGATTATAGCTTTGCTAATCTTGGCTATATATAAATAGCTGACAATCTCCTAATGTGGTATAATAATATCACTCTTTACCTTATAAATTTTCTCAGAATGTGTTTCTGGGATGCTGAGATCCTCCTCAGGTTCAGGGATTTTTGCTGGCTCACCCTTAAGCTTCTCTTTGGAAGATTTCTTATTGGAACCTTCACTTTCTTCACATATTACTGTCTCTTGTCTTTTCATTTTACCACTCAAATTTTCTCTCTTTGCTTCTTTCTCTTCCTTAAGTCGTTCTTCCTCTAGTAATTTATTCTGTTTCTCTTTACTAGCCTAAATGATAATCAGGAGTTCAAGTTACTTTCTAATCCATGATATTTTATATGCGAAAATTGTATGAGTAAACAAACTCAAAATAACATAGGTTCCTTTGGTCTTCTAAGTTAATAATAATTTTAAAACTTGCCTACAGTTTCACAATATTGCATACTATAATCTGCATAAAATTACTGACACACTCAATTCACAGGATCAGACATTCTTGATCGAAAGAGTTGTACCAGATGATAATTTGTATCCTACACACTCAGTCATAGGGAATTATTGATTTTATAGTTCACTTTTCCACAATGTTTATCACCATATCAGAACAAATTATTGACTGAATTTATTCCCAAAATGTGACATAAAATTGTTTTATCTTTTATAGAAAGAGGAAAGAGCTATTAAGACCAGAATTATTAACCTGTATTAAGACAACAACATTAGGCATCTGACATTTTCCAGGTTAGCATTTTATGTTCTAAGCACACTAATGCACTAACATTATCATGAAAGAAACAGTAAGCATTCACAATTACAAGTTAGGCCAATGGCTAACTTGAGCTATGTCAGATCAAGTTGAGTACCCAGGAATTGGTTAAAGCCATTTCATAGCTACTTTCCAGTGGCAGTACTTTAAGTGCAGAGCACTGCACACTGTTAGAAAGATGAGATAGATACACTATGACTGTCAAAAAGAACCAAGAGAGTGCAGCATCAGCTAAGCTAGATCTACCGAGTATAACGGATAGTGCAAGTATGCATAAGTCTACATAAGCATGAAAGCATGCCTTTCTGGCAAATCAGTGTTAATTAAGTCCTTTTCAGAACCATACACATTCTTGCCATACCTTAAGAGAACCTTCTCTAATAAAAGGTCTTCTTTCATTGATGGACTGAGATTCTAGAACGGTGTCCATTATGCTCTCCGGTCTTGATGTGCTGTCTTTGAGAAAAGGAGGAGGAATAACTGTGATCATAAATATGTGAAAATTGAACAACTGTAAAAAAAAAAAAGTTCATAAATGAAAATAAAAAGGGTATGAGTAAACAAAATAAAATACACATTGGTAAATAGTAAAATATACAAGTATAAGAGCAGAATGAAGTCAACGTTAAATATTTTTAGAGATATAATACGCTACTCAGATTAGAAGAAATTTATCTCACAACTAGTATTAATTGGCATTCATAATTGGGGGCCATATGTTCCTTTGGCTGTTTTGGGTGAACAGTCTTCATGGTGTTCCCTCCTAGCTTCATGTGCACTCCCAACCACCCTGCTGGCAGAGCAATGCGAGAAGCAGAAAAACTCTTCATGCAAGCACTGCTGAGTAACACCTGAAACACTGGGGTATTGTCGATGTTATTTTCCTCCTAAATACAAAACACGTCACTGTATCAGACACTAGCAAAGAAAATTAGCTCTAATTAAGCCAAAACTGGGAGAGCTACATGGGTGCAAGATAAGATTCTAAGGTCATAACTGTCCTTTTGGTTCTCAAGCTATAATCAGAAGCATTAAGCTAGTTAAGGAATGGCAATCCGACTTTTGTAAATGGTAATCTTTAGCGCTAGAAAGTTTCAAAGTAAATTCTCAAAGAAAGTTAGTAAAGTAAAGGCTACAGAACAAATCATTTTAAATTCCACTTAAATACACAAATTGAAAATTTGGACAAAAGCTCTCTTTTTTGTCAATATTTGTGTTAAAAATTTTGTTGCCTGCTCAACATTTACTGCATAAGCTGCTTACTATTTTTGATATTCAAAATGCTGCTTGTAGTTAAAGTTCGCTTTGCAGTCTAGTTAATTCCAGTTTCCAGTTTTAGTTTCTAGTCTGCAGCTTCTGACTTCCAGCTTTTATTCCTGCTTTTTCAAAAAAGTTGTCAATTTCAATTACTGCTTGTCTCTTCACATTCACTTATGTCACGTGACAGAGATTTCATAGTTGTATGTAATCTTTCAAGTAACTCCATTAAATAAAAACAGATCCTGAAAGTGTATATTTATATTAAGGGACTCAAGTTTGCAAAATGAAGGATGATGCAGAGGATTTAAGTAAATATACTTAATTTCAAAAGATGTTTATATACATATAGATGACAAGACATGCTTGCCCTACTAAAAATATATGGGATTTTACTATGAACAGATTTGGGTCTCAGCTCTTACCATGATGAACGAATTTTCTAGGATAAAACAGAAAGATACCCACTTGTAGCTTTTATAGATAAGCCAGGCTTTTTGACAGCACAGTCAAAAAATTCAGATGGTCCTTCTGTCATACCTTCTCCCTGCTTAAGAGCCTTTATTTCTCTAGCTATCCTCTTCTCTTGATATTTGACTTCTTCTTCTTTAACCCAGTCTTCAATTGAGTTGGCTACCAGCTCAAGATAGTTCCTGAAAAGTGTAACATTTATCTATTTACAATAATACAATTTTCACTAAGATGATTTCAGATAGGAAAAATTCACTCAGCTTCTCAATTTATATGAATATTATGCAGTGACCTTTGAGAGAAGGACTGTGTTTAACAGATTTTTTTTTTATTTTAATTTTTTTTAAATACAGACACTGGTATTTATGCCTGAATGATACTTGTTTAAAATAACTGATGTTTGGGATTTGGGTTCTCCTGACTGCAAAGAAATAGTAGAAACTTGTCTTCCAAAGAACATCTGTCATCAAACAAAATCCAGACATCCAGAAAACAGACATTCAGACCAATTCTATTTATTTTCTTAGTTGCTCTTGATTTATATTGCCTTTTAAAATACACTTTTTTTGTTTGTTTGACATCTAAGGAGGTGTTATTTTGCTTAGTTTCTAGCACTCTGCTTATTTTCTAGCTCTTTTCTATCAATATGACAAGGAAAGACATTTGGAAATTATCACCCAAATTCAGATTAGAGAATCAGTGCACTGTAGCCTGTCCTAAATTAAGAATATTGGTAAATAATAGTGTGAGTCAGCACTGAATGATAAACTGATGCAGAGTTTGCGTTACTTTGTCTTCCAATGGTATCTGAAACTACTAAATAGTTTACTGTGCATGACTGCTTTCAAACCAAGATAAAAGCTAAAAATTGCACATGTAGTAATTCCTCAATCTCTTGCTTGGAGGATTACCATAATTCTTCAAGTGTAAAAGTAAAAGAAGCATGCATAGAAGTCATTTTATCTTCATAATTTTTTTCACTCAAGAGTTCAAGATGCTTCCACTGTATTCTAAAGCCATGGCAGTATCCACAGATTTTGGTGGTGAATGCAGAACAAGCAATTTTTGACCTCATGATGGTTTCAAATTAATTACCGTAGCATTACTCTGTATATCAAAGAGACTTCATATGTAAGCTGTGTACATAGGCTGCATATATACACAGCTTATATACAGCTTGAAGATATACTAGTCTGACCTACTTCCTGCAGTGTGCATACAGCCTGCCTTGAGATACCTGCATAGAAAAACTGTTTGTCATGTATTCAGCAGGGACAAGGCAACTCTGCTTTTATTTGAATCAAAGAATACAAGTTAGAAAAACAGAGGTGCTGAAAATCAAATGCAAAGCTAAGCTAGACCTAGAGTTGCCAGTACTGGAATAACTTGAAGATGAATATATGTTATAAATAAAATTGAGATTATTCGCATGGAAAGTATTTTAGGGCAACGAAACAGTCATTCTAAGTCAAAAATACATATTCTATTAATATGTATTCTGATGTCACTACTGCCAATGTCTGACTCAGAATCATTTCTCAGAAATAATTATTTTTTCCAGTAACTTGTGCAATGTGCTTACTATGAAACAGTAAACAAATGTCATTAAGATTCACTCTCAGCAAAAGAATAGTTATGACAACATTGAAATTGGCTTTCTGATAGAGTGGTCACTTTTAAACAGAAATGAAGGGTTTTTACACACGTATCACTGTGCCCATGCCTTTGGACCCAGTTAGTCCATAGAATCCACTCGATTTCACAGGCATTCTCATACTGCCTGACCTATGAAGGACACAATTCTTGCATTTTTGGGGTGTTTTACACGAACTATAGGACTTCATAGCCATGGAGAAGAAGGAGAAGTAACTGAGATCTCCAGGAGCAAAGCCAACTCCAAGTCAAGCTGTTGCAACATAAAATTTGATTCCCTTCTGTATGAGAATTTGCCACAAAAGGAACGACTTGAAATCCACTGGCTGGCAGTAATTTCTCAAGTATGCAGGTAAGAGAACTATGTTCCAGAGAGCAACTATGGAACAACCCTACAAAGCAGGTATCTGGTTTGTAAGATATCACAACAAAGAAGTAACAAGTAAACACACATGGAGAAAACCCATAACAGAGAGACAGTCAAATATCTCCCCTGTGCTGAAAGTGTGACTCCTAAATATAACCCCCAAATGAGAATAACAGTAATTTTAATAAAAGGAAAACTAATCCATGGTTACATCAAAGGCCAATATTTTGTAGAAAAGTAAAGTGCCACAAGCAATACAACTACATTAGTAAGCAGGTTAGCAAGTAGGGTTTCTGACTGTGTGTATGGCAACTCAGCAAGATTTGGAAGCCAAGAGAGGCTACAACTTGAAGTGCTCCAGGTATTTAAAGACAGACTTCCGAAGAAGTGTTAGGTTGCTTGGAAACATACGCTAGCAAATATTTGTGATTACTTTGTCTGGAAATCTGACATGATCTTTAGCAAAAAGGTTGAGTAAGGTCAGAAAAAGTGGTAATTACTTTGCAGAGAAAAGGCAGGTACAGATGCTACATAACAGAACTAAACAAGAGCCTACAGCTCTTCATAGATACTAAATAGCAGACAGAGAGCACAGAGTATTTCCCCAAAAGAAGAGTAAAATCAAACCTTTCAGTTAGCTTTCATTCTAGTTTCTTTAGGAATGCCTTTCTGCTTTGAAATAGAACTCCAAGAAATGTCAGTGAACAAAGCTGGCATGCTCTACCAAGAAGTTGTATTTAATGTTCAAGTCTTGTTTCCAGTGTGTCTGGAAGAATAATAATGAGTAAACATATAGCTAGCACAGCCTCAGCAAAACTAGTTTGTCTGCCAAAGAGTGTGCATTACTCCTTCTTTGGATGTAAAATCATTATCTTTTGTTTTGAAGGTTTCAAGAGCTCTTCTCATTTTGCAGTTGGCCTTGAATTGACTATTTCAATACTGTGTCGAGGTGAGCTGCCAAACTGTTTTAGGAATTGTTAGAAGAGTTGTTTCAAGTCTAATTGCTTCCTGAGGAAGTCTGGTTCCACATATTTGCTCCTACAGGTAACACAACAGCAGGTCCTCAGGATAAGTCACTGCTAATCACAACAAACTGAGATGGATTCCTGTAGATTTCCCTAAGAGCAAAAACAGTACAAAGCATGTCTTCTGGAAGGCACACTTCACCTGCTTAGCATTAAAACCTGTTTAAATCTGTTGGTATCAACAAAAATTTACATTGAAAGAGTCCAATATTCTGATAAATAGAATAGGTTCCTCAGATAGTGATGCTTACTGATAGACTTGCAGAAAAAAAAAAAAAAAAGCAAAACAGGTTTGTCCACTGATAAGTTACTTTTAACTTTATTTGATGAATCAGATTTAAATAATTCAGGGAGAACCACTGTGTTATGGTTAAAGCTAGCTCAGATGTCCCTCCATAGCATTATTGCTTCTTAACATGTCAGTACATGGACACATATTCTACATTTAATCAACAAACTGGAATAGCAGTTGGATTCATATAATCTATACTGCCCATCAGCAGTGCAAAAAGGTACCAAAATAAATACATCCACTGGAAAAAGCTCTAATAGTAGCACATTTATACTTCTTACTGATGAGCAGATAGTGACAATTAAGAGGAATGTGTTATTCCAAGAAAAAAAAAAAAAAGATCCTAATACTAATAAAAGGCTTCTAGCTTTTCCCAGAAAAACATTATATGATAGCTGTACCATTTATATAACTATGGTTGAAAAACATGGAAATTAAGTTTTTACACAGTTTGCCATTTGAACTCCTCCAGATCAACATTATTTTCTTGACACGTATATCCCTAATTTGACTTTGTGTGTATTATCATATTCTTAAACCATGTGATAAGGACTCATGCACAGTTACTGTATGGTTCTCCTCACTATGAAAAGCTTTATCTCATCAGAACTCTTTTGATACAGTACTGCTCTCTACCTTTATGCCTTGCTTTCTCTTAAATGTAGTTACATCATGATACCTTTTAATTTCAAAGCTTTGGTCATGCAGGACGAAATTTCAAAAGATTTGCCATGACCATATAGGGCTTTAATTGAAAATGACTATGATTAATATAGAAGTGATAAAATTAATTACCTGAATCCAACGTTAGAGTGCAATGCAACATCCCAAGTCTCCTGGCACAAACGATTCTGATTCATAGGATTGTGAAGAACCATTAGCAAAGACTTATCTTGTGTATGATAATAGGAATCAATACATCTATACTCCTGGGCTGCAGTATGAAGAACCTGAAAAGGAAAGAAAGAAAGGTACATCCTCTTTGTACACAGTAGTATGTGTAGATGGTAAACAGCACAGCTTTCAGCAATGGGTACTTCAGAACTTCACTCTTCCTGTAGGATGCACGCAAACTACTTGGATTGTAGCAATCTGCAGTGATCCAGCATGTGGAAACTGAAACTCTGCCACTATCCATATGGAGAATACATACTCTCTGCCTTTCACCTCTGAATCAGACCACGAATGAAATAATTCAGTTAAAGAATAGATAAATTATTATTCATATATTTTTAAGATTTTAAAATGAGTATTGAAATAAATACATAACGAGTATTGAAATAAATACATAACGAGTAAACGCAGAACTATTGTAACGTGGGTAGAAAAAAAGAAACAAGCTGTTTTTCAGCTCATTTTGTATCCAATTTGCTCTACTGTGCCCTGAACATCTCTGACATTTGTTGTGTTATACATTATTTCACGCTGTTCTGTATAGACCATCACTTTCAATGTTTACATTCTCTGGAAGCTGCAACTTATAGCTATATCTAATATAAAACTTTCTTTCAAGCTACTGTTTCTACAAAACTATCAAAATGAAATGAGATGGAAGTAATTCCATATCAACAAGCATTCTCTTTAAATCTGAAAACCTCGTTATCACCTGGTTGTATAAACGGTGCTTGTTACAGTTGGAAAGATTAGTACAGTGAAAAGGTGATACAAAAATAAAACAGCAAAAGAGACAAACAGAAAAAGATCTAGGCTCAGAGAGGAAAACTCTACAAGGGAGGGATCTCTGATGAGAGACTTCCTCTGTGGCAGTCAACCCTTAAATAGGGTCTAAGAGATGTGCAGCCAGGCTCCACCCCTTCCAGTCATACAGGTGAACTGCCTTCATCTGTGCTCCCAGGGCTGATCAGATCCTTTCTCCAGGTGATCAACCAGTGGGTTTAGGCAGTGACTCAACAGTTCCTATACAGTGCTTATATGTGAAATAAAGAAATACCATCAACAAAATGTTGCTGTTTTCTTCTGCAGTTGTTTTCCATCAGCGTCTTTTGACTTGACACTAATTACTGACAGTTTAGTTTGTATTAGCTGTTTATCTTGCTTAGGTAGGAATTCCCCATGTACTGAAATCTATTACCCAGACCCTAATGAGGGGATGCTAAAGTATTGCTGAAAAAGCTGCCATTTCTCTATCCTTGTATAAGCATGCGTGAGGATCAAAAAGAATTGCCTTGAAGGTCAAAACAGTCCTGAATTTATAATCCACTTCTCCAAAGAGAATGCCTAGCGCTTCATGCCATCTACACCTGAACTCATCTTTCGCATTTGTTGTTCTTTCTGCAAGATCAATTGTGGTCTTTAGCTCACAAGATTTCTGTAAATAAAGCTTGTAGCCCTCAAAGAGTGAAGAATTATTATGACAAAATTTCCTGCTTGTCCATAAACCATATGCTGCACAAGTATTTGTAAAGTATGCTTTCACATACAGTGGGCTAATTAATCTTGTAATGATCAGGGAGGGTCACCTTTAAGGGTAATTTTTTTTTCATCACACAGTTAAAAGAATCATACTGAAAAAAACAGCTGCAGTGTGGCCAAACCATGAAATAAAAGACAATTATTAACTTCAGCTCCTCATGCAGGATTTAAAGCAGCTGAACAATGAGTTTTGGTGAAAATGCATCAGTGATGAAATTGAACCAATTATTTAGGAGGGAAATACCCTGTATTCCCCTACTAATTCTGAGACATGACTGAATCTACAAAACCGTCTGTTCACAAATACCTGCAGAAGGACATCAGGATGAAAACGCTCAGCAAAATTCCAGTCTGTCAGACAACGTTTCTGAGTCTTTTTTATTTCTTCCAGTTTTGGTTCCAGACCAGAATTTTCCAGACTCACCTCAAAATACAATGAAACAAAGTAACGATTATCAACATTTTAGTGTCAATTGTATCAAATTAACTGTAATTTGTTGATTTAATAGACAGCATCACATGTTACTTCACAGTTAATTGCATAATGCTGCACACGTGTAGAGCCGTATGGCAATATTTAATAAAAAAACCCAACAACTGCTCCCAAAGGTTTTTGCTTTTGGCTTTTTATGTCAAACATAATTCAACTATTTTTATTGCTAGGTTATATGTTTTTGAGTGCTGTAAGCAATTATGAATATTTAGACGGGTATTATGAAGTAATTTTAAAATTGCTGTATTTATCCAGGGCTGTATGGCAGGCAGGTGTTTCTGAAGGAGCCAAAATGCTCAGTCTGTTAGTTTGAAATAGTTTGGCAATTTTTCTTGAACATTCATTTAAGTATTTGACTCCTGGTATTCAGTAAAACCTGCATTTCCATTAGTAGCTTCACCAAACCCATCACATTAGAATTCAAAGAAAGTGATAGATAGCACTTAACAGTCATCTCCATATTCCCCAAACACGACAAAATTGTCATCTGCATGCAGCACTGGATCTGTATAAACATATCCCAATACTGAACAGCACTTTCTGTTGTCTCATGCTATAAAGCAGAGTGTACTCCATTCATCACACTTGCCAGATCAGAAGTAGAAAGATTCAATTCTTTGTTCAAAACAGCCAGACCATCTCTTTCATCCTTGTCTTTTCCTTTTGCATGTCCTAGAAATTGAAAACTGAATTTTAAGAACTGTTCCAGAAATTTCAGCCCTAAACACTAAGGTCAGAGTGCTGCAACTTCCTTAGCATATTTGATGAGATTGCCATCAAATTAAAGTTTCCTTTTATGACATTAGTTTGCTAAATACATGATCACTTCCAACCCACTTTGAAATCCATATGCAGTAAGTATGAGATTAACCAGAAAAAAAACAAAAAGAAAAAAAAAGGAAAGGAAAAAGGGAAATCCACTCAAATTATCTTCTTTATATGACATGTAATAGCTTTGCCTGCCCAAAAAGATTAAAAATACTCTAAGAAGTGGCCTCAAGATTTACAGGCGAAGAACCACCTACCAGCTCATTACCTGAGAAACAAGTATTTCTTTGCAGAGATAACATAAGGAAAAGCTAAAATAAATTATTTTGGTATTAGAATTCTTGGAAACCATGTATTTTAAACTTAATTAATTGGATTTGTAGAGCTCTACAAGCTAATGACAGAACATTACACTTACCAAGGATCTAAGTAGTAATTGTGATGCACAGATTAGACTGATAAACTATCATTATTACAATGGGCACCGGACATTAATAGGATTACGTGGAGATTTTCATTTCTATATTCTTGTATTTTCTCTCACTTTTAAAAATAATTTTCTTTTAATAGAACTCTTAATGCCCTAATGTAGGGCAGAATTCACTAATATTTGATTAAAATTCAGATACACGAGAAAAATTCTACTCCAAAGAAATACTCCTGAAATTATTTGTTCATAAATGGTTCATAAACAGCTCAGCTTCCAGACATGCATTCTTAGACTCTGCTTCTCTGAAAAATTGCATCTGTTTGCTGGCTGCCTTTAGGAGGTTAAAGAAAACTCATTGCAAAAGCTTAATCTTCCTGGTATTTCGTACTGCAGAAGCATTGAAATGTTGACAGCTGAGTTTGTAACTACAATATTTAGAATTGTGACTAACATAGAAGTAAAATAAACTAACATTAAAAAAAAAAACAACAAAACTGTTCTCAAGCTGCAGAAAAAAAGCAGATAAGCAAGATTCATTTTGTCTGCTCAAACTTCCTATCTAAGATGGTTGCTTAGACATCTACATTAGCAGAGAATGGACAATATCATAAATATAAAGATGTAGCAGATTAAACTGATCTGATTTTTACTTTTCTCAGATCTCAAAAAAATAATTTCTTATTTTGAATGTGGCTTCTAGAACCAGTTCACTACATGATGTAGTCTACAAAGTAGAGTAACTAAAGTCTTTGACACCACCTCCCACAGCATTCTCCTGGAGAAGCTGTCAGCTCATGGCTTAGACAGGTGTATTCCTCACTGAATAAACAACTGGCTGGACTGTCATGCCTCAACAGTGGGGATGAATGGAATCACACCCAGCTAGTCACAAGGGGGTCAGTAATGGGACCGGTCCTGTTTAACACCTCTAGAATAAGAAGATCTGGATAAGTGGATTGAGTGCACCCTCAGTAAGTCTGCAGATGACACCAAGGTGGGAGGAGGTATTGATCTGCTTAAGAGTAGAAAGGCCCTACAGAGGCATCTGGATAGGCTAGATTGATAGGCTGAAGCCAATTGTATGAGCTTCAACAAGATCCAGTGCTGAGTCCTGCACTTCGGTCACAACAACCCCATGCAATGCTAGGCCAGATATCATAGAACCATTTGTGTTGGAAAGGACCTCTAGTCCAACTGCCCTGCAATGAACAGGGACATCTTCAGCTAGATCAGGTTGTTCAGAGCCTGCTCAAGTATGACTTTGAATGTCTCCAAGGATGGGGCTTCCACCACCTCTCTGGGCAACCTGTTCTAGTGCCTTACCACCCAAGACTGTAAAAACCTTCTTCCTTATGCCCCACCTAAATCACCCCTCTTTTAGTTTCTACAAAGTAAAAGATACTTATGCATGTGTAACTACAAAGCATAGCACAAATTTTTATTTTTTTATTTTTTTAAATTAAATTTCAACTTTTCACATTACTATCTAGAGTCCTTATGTGTAAGGTATGTATCTTACCCACTCCTAATACTCATTCACAACTAATCATCAAATTAGTTGACTAGCGCCCTATGCATCACATTTGATCTTACTCCATGGTTGCTACTAAGGTGACAAAAACTCAGGAGCCATTACAGCTTTAAGGAGCCTCCATTCAGAAAGGTATTTAAGCTCATGTTCAGTATTCTACACCTTTAAATATATATTTAATGTCATTAGCAATAAAATTGTTTTCTAGTACACAGCTTTTTACACATACCATTTTAATAAGCTGATAAATCAACTTTTTAAAGTTATATCATACAAAAACAGCTAATTTTTGTCTTTATGTATATACTCAATGTTCAGACTACACAATATTTGAAATTTGATGATTTGTATAAGGAATAAAAATCACTGGCCTGTAACAGCAAATGATATGGTAAAATAAATAGATTCAAATTCTTCAGGAGTAACATAAACAGAGAGGTTTTTACCAGAGCCTCCTGGTGATTTCCCATTAAGTTTCGTTTCCATAAGGTAGAGTTGTCTCAGCTGCCTTGCAAACTTGGCTGGATTATCCCAGGGTATACAAGATACTTCAGAATCACCTCCAATCAGAGATCCAGAGCTCTCCAGGAGTCCAGAGTCACTCAGCTCAGTCAGCCTCAGGCTTTCAAAAGTAAACACTCTGAAGGCTCTTTCCACTTCAGCCCAACTCAGAAGTTCTATATGAGAATTACAATCATTAGCAGAAAATGTTCTTGTGGCTCAGCAGAAGATAAATAGAAAACTATGCAAGCATATTGTTCTTGGCAACTCTGCAAAAGCCAACAACAATTTCCTTAATGGTAAAGGATCAAATTATGTCAGCTACATTCTATACTGCATTCAAAGTTGAATGCTTCCAAATTGCAAAATGATATACCTAACTGTTAATCCATCTTAAATGAAGTGCTTCCTACATCTGAAGACTTCCTGCCTCATTAGCTTTATATAAATTATGATGATTTTAAAATACTGAATACACTGTATCAAACCAATTAACAGCTAGCTATTTTCAACTGCAGCTCATGAAAAAGCTTCCATTATCACTAATGTTTTTTATCATCAGTAATTTTTCAAGCAAAATTTCAAAATTTTTTTTTCCCTTGAAAACAAATTTTACACACACTTTCCATAGAAGAATTCAAGATGTAAAGACAATAAATGCTACTTATGGTTGTTTGCATGAGTGTTTGTTTAACAGTGATAATCAGGAGAAATGTTGAATTTTAGGAAAGTTTATTCAGATTGAAATGTTCTCTCCTTGCAGTAGTTAAGTACCCAAGCACACTGCAAATCCTGGAAAAGTGAAGAAATTACTATCAAAGTTAACAGTTGGTAAAGCCTAGCAGTACAGTATGGTCCAGTGAAGATAATCAAAATTGATATCCAGTAGCTGGCAAGCTACAGCAATATAGAACACCTTAATAGCTAAAACACACCGTCTAAAATGAACATACCAACACCTAGACACAGTGCAGCTAGTGTAAACTAATCCAACACATGGCATTTGGGGAATGAATAACCAGGAAAGTACCTCCAAATACTGTCCCTTATATGATGGCACAAATGTAACCAAAGAGATTGTGATGTTCATATTTCTTAGAAGTTGTAGAGTAAACTTTCAAAAATGCCTAAAGGTATTCATGCAGTCTTTGGGATTGTTTCACAGTGTACGTCATGGTGGTGGGCACATTCCAAGAAAAGGTAATTGCAGAAGTGATTATGGTTGAAGAAGTGAACGTATTCTGCTGGTTTGTTAAAGAGACTATTATAAAAGCCAGTTCATTATTAACAGCAGAAGCTTAAAAAGAATATATTTTGAAAACCAGTTACTGCGTAACAAAAATTTTCTATCTAAAATACACATGCTCCTCCACCCCAAGGATGCTGGTAAATAAATATACGATTTATGTCATTATTTACCAAAAAGCACTGTGTGCTAACATCAAAACAAAAATTTGCAAGATTGTTTCTTTCTTTCTCAGATATAATAACCATTTGTATGTTACTAAACATAAATAAGTAAACAAGAGACTTCTGAGATACTACCAGCTCTTAGTTTTGCAATGCTTAATACTCATTTGCCTTGTCCAATTACCATGAAACCAAGGTGTGAAGTTAGCTTAATTTGTATAACTTGCCATGTTATAATCAAGAATATAAAAAATGGGAAATTCCTCACAGGTTTCAGGTAGCTGAAAAATCTCATCCTGAAATTCCCACTTTTTAATAGAATCATCAATAAGAAGAAAAAGGAAGAAGTTATATCAATGAAAATCAGCTCACCACTGGTACAATAATGCATAAGCTCGTGAACTCTGGCCAAGCGTTTAGAGTCATTTTCAGCTGAAGGAAGGGTGAAATGGATAAGTTCTTTAAGAGGCAATTTATCCATCATTTCATGTTCAATCTTTTTTGGATTTAAGTTGCTTTGGATCTAAAACAAACACCAAAGTACTAGAGTTAAAAAAAATTAAACTTTAACACCAATGGACTGCTAAAAAAGCATGTTAGAATAAGTAAGTCTTTTTGCAGCAAAAGACATAAGTGTGTGTTTAAGCCAGTCAGATATTAACAGTGTGTTACTGAATCATGGTGTCAGATATTTTGGGCAAGAAAAGTGAGATAAAAAGAGAATGACAGACAGCGTAATAGGCACTTGTTAGAAGATATTTGTCTGTGCTACCTAGCCTCAAAAATTTTGTAATACTGGAGTAAATCAACAGAATTCTGTAACATCACTCATTTACATAAAAAAAATAAACCTTATTATTAATGCAAACAGTATATCCATTTAATACTCTGTGTTATGATGTGTCCTCAATCTATGTAAGTAATCCATTGCTTCTTAAGCAGACTAAGGACTTGTGTTAGTGTCTATCCCAGATGGAAAAATCTAATCTATACTGCGTGTTTTTGTAAAAGCAAAACTCACTCAGTTCTTTCTAATGCCTTGAGTATTTACTGTCTGTGGACTTTAGAACTTTTCATATGTGACAGATAGCACTATACCTTCAGCAGGTGCAAGCGCTGAGCTAGAGTATCGTGGTAGTTAAATAAGAGTGGGTATTTGGGGGTTGCAGTTTCTTCGCTGTATTTGGGAGAAAAGTAGTCATACAGATTCTGTTAAAAAGAAAGATGCATTAAACACCAATAATAATACAAATGTGTCATTGTAGGAAACAAACTAAAGACAATGCAAACCTTTTTTTCACTCTCAGAAAGTGGAAGTGAAGGAAGCACAGAGGCTATATGATCTGCAATCTTATGATGTATCCCATCTGCCCGTTCTTCTGGCACCACCAGACTAGGTGGTGTTAGGTTTTCTTCACTTGCAATAACCTAGTGAAAATAGTATATGGTAGCTTTCATTAAAATATTACTGCTGCTTAACATCATTAAAATTACCAGGCAGATTCTGTGATAAGTTACATATAAACTAAACACTTATCCATATATTTTGTAAAGAAACAAAAAGAAAGTCTTTTTTTCTTTCTTTTTGGTATAAGCAGCCACAATTATGGAAAAGAGAAATATGTTCTCTTATTATTCACCTTCAGAAGGATGAGAAGAAAAATATTTACAACTTGAAACGTTAAGAATTGTAATGAACACAGATTCTGTCTGCATTTCAGGTGTCACACTTTTTCTTGAGTATTTTTGCATAAGCCTATCTTTGGATAAACGAATTGTGCTGAAATTTCAATTCAAAAATAAGAAAGATTTTCAAATCATACTGTGGGGTTTTGGTAATGTGTAGATTTTGCCTGAACTCAAAAGTAATCAGACCAGTCTAGTGCTAGCATAGATGCATAGCACTTGTATTGTTAAGCTTGCCATAAGACCTTTGTACTGAGTTAAGTATTACAAGTTCAATACTGCTGCATAGGATGTGAAAAAACAATTCCTGACTTTGTTATAAAATGACACCTTTTTCCTCATTTGATCATATTGGATCTGTAGTCTTAAAAATGAAACTTTAGGGTAATACTGTATTTACAGGATAAGTGAGCACAATATAAAAGGAAAACAAGGAAGCCATGTTTTAGTTATGAATCGTTAATATTGAACCTCCATCGTCAGTGCCTCCATTCATAACCTTCTGTCTTAGTGTGAAAGAGATTGATTTATTGATCTTTGATCAACCATTATACCAAGTCTAGAAAGAATTAGCTGAGGGAAGAGAAAAATATATATTTCCACCTGTTCCAGCATGCAGTTCAGCATTATGGGCACAGAAAAGCATTCCTCGGGAATCTGATTCAGCAAGTCATTGTAATATCTCATATCCATGGAAGCAGCCATAAAAGAAAATTCTTCCTCTGCTGTAAAAAGAAAACTCATTAAGCTAGATTTATTGAATTCCTGACCAGTTCAACCTTCTGACAATTTTTCTGAAAAGATAATGTTCATGATTGTGTCGCTATTAAATCCAACTGTGACTAGGAAGAGGTAGAAAAAGTGATTTTTCTAAAGAACCTAGTTATCACCACTGCAGTTTCCAGAGGTTTTCACAATGTATTCACCACAAAACTACTCTCACAGCATCAAACCAGATTTTGCTTCCTGTGAAAATAATTTCTGCTAACAGGTGAATGAATGATAAGACAGAGTGAACAGCTAAAGGACCATTGCTTTCATCCTTTAGACATGCCTTGTGATAAAATTACAGTTGTCAGAATTTCTTCTGCTTGCTGCTTTTTCTTTGAAGGTGTAATCTGTGATGCTGGTTGTATCTAAAAGAACAAAGACAATGATCAAAAAATAATAATCAGAATCACTGAAACAAGTGAGAATTGCCAGATGCAAATAGGTGGGAAAAATAATTTCATTTAGCTTTAGTTTCTTACTCTTAACTAGATGCTAAAATTTCATGTGGCTTAAATCAAATCTGACTCTGAAGGGAACAAGTTATGTTGTTTTACAAATGCTTTAAGAGAGAGTTTAAGTCAGAAGCACTGCTACAGATGTAGTAATCCTATTTTTATCCAGTCTCTAGTTCATGTCCAACAAACCGCTTTCTTGAGCACACTTGTTTTGTCTACTATAAGCAAAATAAATTAACTGATCTGGGATAGAACTAAATAATAATTTTTGCATAGTTTGCAGATCTGTAAGGAGACATAGTAGCCCTGTGCACGCATAGTGATTTTCCAGGCATAAGAAGACATAATCATAAGTTAAATAATTTTTAAACCAGTGATAGCTTATGACAATATCTGTATGATCCTTCAGATGTTTATTTTTCTGTTTCTCCAATAATCTTTTTTTCTCTAATAATTTTTCCCATTTTTGATTTTTTAAATGCTGAAGACAAAAATCCCAACTTTGTTTATGAAACATTATACATAGGGCGATGGTCCAAGCTGATATTTTCAGTGCAGAATTGAAGGAAGGTAATTCTATCCTATAGATCATTACTTTCTATAATAAACAAGATAAAGCAAAAGAAAATCCTTGCCTTGGTTACTACAGGTGGCTGTGTTGATTTGCTTTCTGATAATTCAGGCACATTAATAAACTTGGTGTTTTCCAAGTAGTTACAATGCTGTCTTCTCCAGTCTATGCAGTCATACATTAAACAAGCAATGCTTTCAAATAGTTCAGTGCCAAATGCAAGCTACGACAGAAAATCAGATATAAAGGATGAAGTGTGCATACAAATGTGGCATGTAATTTAGCCACATGAGTTATTAGTTCGCTATCGAGCAGATCCACAGTTGTTTAAAAGTTTTCAAACAGAATTGAGATCAACCATAATTTTAAATTTGAAATACTTTTATAGTCATACCAAACCCTCTCTCGGACCACATGCCACACTCAGGTTTCAGTGGCTTTAATGGCCATACTCTTCTTTTTATCCTAAACAAGTAATTGGATATCTCAACCTTAAGTTTTCTAAAATGAAACATGGTGAAGAAACACAACTGTCCTCCAGTTCCATAACTCACAGTAAACATATTAACTGACCCTTAAGAAATATCAGGCATCTGCTTTCTCTACCACTAGTCCTGTTTATATCATTTCTAAACAAGCACTCAGGTCAGTCATCAGTTATGGAAAACTTGTAGTAGTATTTGTAATATTTGAATATTAGAAGTTCAGTTTGCAAAAACAGTTTTCAGAATTAATATTTGCACATTTTTGCTTTTCTAATTCAATGCTCTTTTATAGAACTTTTCATTAATGTTACAAGAGATCACTAGGGCTACTTGAAAATTTCAATTAAAGTACTGGAGAGTTTTGCAAGCTCAGCCTTTTTAACAAAGTAAGAATTTAGCAGTGTGAGGGAGTTGATTGTTCTCCACTACTCTGTGAGGCTCCATCTGTAGTACTGTGTCCAGAAGTGGGACCTCCAGCACAAAAAAGATATGGAGCTGTTGGAGGGGAGTTTAAATGAGGGTCATGAAGATGATTAGAGGGCTGGAGTACCTCTGCTACAAAGAAAGGCTGAAGGAGCTGGGTTTGTTCAGCCTAGAGAACAGAAGGCTCTGAGGAGATTTTAAAGGGTCCTTGCTGTACCAAAAGAGGGCCTATAGAAAAGATGGGTAGGCACTCTTCATCAGAGAGGGTAGTGATAGGACAGGGTGTAATTTTTTAAACTAAAATAGAGGAAATTTAGATTAGATATTTGGAGGAAATTCTTTGCTCAAAGAGTGGCAAGGCACTGCAACAGGTTCCCTGGATTAGTTGTAGATACCTCATCCCTGGAAGTGTTCAAGGCCATGTTGAATCATTACAGAATGGCCTGGGTTGAAAAGAATCACAGTGATCATTTAGTTCCAACGCCATTGCTATGTGCAGGGTCACCAACCAGCAGACCAGGCTGCCCAGAGCCACATCCAGCCTGGCCTTGAATGCCTCCAGGGATGGGGCATCCACAGCCTCCTTGGGCAACCTGTTACAGTGCATCACCACCCTCTGAGTGAAAAACTTCCTCCTAATATCTAACCTAAACCTCCCTATCTTAATTTAAAATAATTCCCCCTTGAAAGTTGGGTAGGGTCCTGGGCACCGTGATCTACTGGGAAGTGCCTTGACCACACTGGGGGATTGGAAATAGATGGTCTTTAAGGCCTCTTTCAATCTAAACCATTCTATTATTCTATGATTCTAATTTTCCTCATTTCAGGACAGACATGTTTGTCAAAAATTCTGAGTCCAGCCACCAGTTACTATTGAAAAAAAGAAAATATTCCTGAAAGTATTTTCCATTACATGAAATATCTGAAATGTAGATAACTTCCTGCATTTAATACTCCATCACTTTTTCAATGCCTATCAATCTGTCACAGGAGTTACTCTCTGATAGCTCTTGGACTTCAGAGATGCAGCAAGATAGTACTCAAAGACTTTCCAGGAATTTCACCAGAACAGATTTACTCTATGATTTCATTACTTGCATTTTCAACATCTATATCTTTAAAGAATTACTTCTTTAGAGCTCATCTGAATTTTGAGATAGAGAAGAATGTGAAATTACAACTACAATCTGCTGGAACAATTTCAGTGACAGACAATTTTTATTTTATTTCAGTAAAGATAATTGCTCATAGTATATTTACGGACTCTCAGAAGAGAAGGGGAAAATAGAAATGATTAAAGAACATCTTTCACAAAATTGGCCTCATACGTGAAGATCAGATTAAGAAAATATAATGGTGAATAATGTTATAAAGTAGCAACTCTACACATTTTCACAATTGAGGTGTTTTTAGCGAACGCCTTAGAAACCACGGTGGATTTAGTCCAATTCAGTTCTGATCTCTTTAGGATCAAGGGTACTTCCTAGCTCACCAGATTGTTTATATACAGGATTTAATGTACTATAAATAAGTGTTAGGGAGATACAGTCTGTCATTTAACTGTAATAATATAGACCACAAATACAGTAGGATAAATCATAGAAAGTTGTTTTATTTTGCTTTAGCACATATTTTTGGACATACTTTACATACTTTAGCTGCCATTATGGACTGGAAAATGCTGGACACTTTACCTTGCTGCATTTGAAATCGTCAGTTCAAAAAAAAAATTCTAATTGTTCACCTTGCCTCCCTTTACCAAGTAATAGTCCTTACTCAGCAGGTTATGAAAAGTAATAAACCAAAACCATGTTTTGGGTAGGACAACAAGTAGCACAGTATGTGCTAAAACAACAGTTTATAATCAAAAACTTTTTTTTTGCATTTGTTTGAATTTGTTGTCATGTGACTTTTCTGATAAATAGTAAGTAGGCCTGTTGTTAGAAGGAAAAAAACATAATTTTTATGTTATTTCATGCTGACACCTGACTCTCTAATGAGATTCAAACTGGGTCATTGTGAAGACGGAATAAATTTAACACCTCATATTACTTTCAACTTGGCTGTTGTTGCCTACAGTATTAAGAAACTCCAAGTCAGGTGTTTTTATTCAAAGGACTCCTTGTGAAACATACTTTAGTTCTTTTTCACAGAAGACCAAACTAAAATTCTTGCCATTACTAAAATGAAGCTAAATGTTGCGAACTTCAAAGCTTGCCATATATAGTGAAAGTATTATCTACTGACCAGGATTTCTCTGTCAGACCAATCAGAAGGAAAGGCATTCTCCTTAACTAGGTGATGAAGTCTGGCAACATCAAAGAGTCTTGACCCATGCTTTTCACTGCTCAGAACTGGTTCCAGGTATTTCCAAAATGTTTCCAGGTCTTTGATAGATTCATTTTTCTTTTTTTTTTCTGCTTCTACATCTAAAATTTTAAAGTAATAAATCATGATACAATGTCTCCCTTCTATAGAAAGCACAAACTGTTATTAATCTTCTGTAAGTACTGTTAGAATATTCCTATTCTCACCATCTCAGAAAAAAATCTGATAACCAACTTTGAGTTTAAAAACTTCAGGAAGAAAAAGCCTGAGTGAAACATGGCAGTTAGAAAAACAAAGAAACAAAATATAAACAAACTCCCAGAATACCAATAACGTAGGTTTGAAACTTAGGAAATATCAAAATCCCAGGCTGTGTTTTTCCAAAGCTGCCAGCACAAATTTAGAACCAACAGCTCTTCAAGTATAGGATAAGCAATCCTTACTAGCATCGTTTTGTTGAAGTGCAAACTGAGGTTAGAGGGAGATTAAGGTATTAGACTTGCCAGTAATAATCATGCTGAAGTTGCATGGTTTTTATTTTTATTGTATGGTAATGATTAGTTTTCAAAGGTGCCATCAGGTACAGAGAAAAGTCTCTCTCCCTAAATATCAAACTCTTAAGTCCCAGATCAACCGCACACATTATACCCTTATTTTAAGAGAAATGGGGACATTAAACCTGCAATGACTTGCTTTCATCTGAACTAGCAGGTGCTCAGTACTTCTAAAACCTAGATATGAAGGCCAAATACCACACTTGTACCATCCCAGCGGCCCTATGGATTTAAACCCAAATAACCCTGTGAGGCCATGGACTCTTCAAAACATGCTGATCTCTTTAAAGAATTCATAGATATACCTCCCTTCTGTAGCAGCCATCAGAAGTGATGGCCACTTAACTTTAAAACTGTCCTATCATGGAATCACTCCGTTTGGAAAAGACCTTAAAGATCACCAAGTCCAATCACAACCTAACCATACTACCCTAATTCTAACAACCCATGGCTAAATCATGCCCCTGAGCACCATATCCAAATGGTTTTCATACACATCCATTGATGATGACTCAACCACCTCCCTGTGGAGCCTATTCCAGTGCTTCACAACCCTTTCTGTAAAGAATTATTTCCTGATATCCAACCTAAACTTACCCTGATGCAACTTGAGGCCATTTCCCCTCCTCCCATCACCTGTCACCAGTGAGAAGAGACCAACCCTATTCTCGCTGTCAGCACCTTTCACATATTGAAAGAGAGCAATAAGGTCTCCCCTCAGCCTCCTGTTCCCCAGACTAAACAGCCCCAGTTCCTTCAGTCTCTCCTTGTAGAACATATTCTCCAAGCCCTTCACAAGCCTTATTGCTGTTCTTTGGACCTGCTCCAGCATCTCCATGTCCTTTCCGTACTGAGGTGCCCCAAACTGAACACAGTACTCGAGGTGAGGCCTCACCAGTGCCGAGTACAGCGCAGGATTACTTCCCTAGTCCTACTCACCACTCCATTCCTGATACAAGCCAGGCTGCCATTGGCCTTCTTGGCCACCTGGGGACACTAAACTAAACCATTGAGGTTTACTGAAAAGATACATCAGGATCAGGAAAATACCTTGACTTGAAAATAAATGGAGGCTATGTTAAGTGCACATGAAGTAGTCTCATCCATGCTTTTCTTATACAGTTATCCTTTTTCTATTATTTTCATTCCTTTCCAGTGCTCTTTTCCTATTATTCTTCTCTTTTTCCTCTTCATTAGCATCAGCTCATGACCACTTCTGGGGACAGAATGCTGGCCTTGATTTTAACTGTTCCATGCTCCTAACAGCTCACCTTGGATGAAGGAACATCCTTCCTTTTCCCTCTTTTTTCAGGTGCTCATGAAAGATAAGCTCTAATTCTACATGGTATCTCACCAGTAGCAAAGTTCTCCTAACACTCTTTGAACATATATTTTGGCAATATAACAGTATCCAGACTGTTTGGTCCTAGAGTGATCTCTTCATGTTCCTGAAAGGAAGTGGAGCCGCTCAGCGATAATAATATTGTAACTAGAAATTCAATTTTAACAACAGAGGAATAATGTTTTACTATCTCTGTCCTATAGTTTAATGATAAAACAAACAAGTTTACGATGCTTAGGTCTCCCCTTGCACCAAGGGATGTCAGGATCAATCATTAGATGTTCTACCTTTGAATACTGTCTCTCTTCTTCATTGTTACTGAATTAACATGAAGTCATATTACTGAAGTGTTATAGTCATTATACTACTATTACCATATATTACTACTATTCTGAAGTCTTCAGGAATAGAAATGAGACAGTAGTTAGTAGTACTCTACATGATTTCAGCATGTAGAAAAACAACAACAAAAATCTGTAACAATCATATAACAGTGGAATAATAACATCTAGTATATATTAACACATTGCATAGTGATTTTGAACCATCACAGTGTAAACAGAAGTCCAAAAATTACTAGGGTGTGTCAGGTCACACATTTCCAACAGATACATTGAAAAATGAGTTACATTTTGTCAAGCTGGGAGATTGGTCTGAGTTCTGAATGTTAACTCTAAGAGAAGTGGAAGTAATAGTAGTGAAGCTAATGGAGTGTTTAGAGGAACAAAAAACTAACCATATGAAAAGGGTAATGACAATGCTTGACTTCATTCACAAAAGGAAAGCCATTAGTGGATGTAAACAGATAAGAAAAAAAAAAGAACAAGAGAGCTACCTTCCTAATCCAGGGTTTATGAGTCTTAATAAAAAGAACAACAGAAACATTATACCACAATTGTATTTACAAGTTACTATCTTCCTTCCTAAGATACATCTTCATGCATTACACTGTTTCAAAAGCCATTCAAATAGGACATACTTCAACTCCTGCTCCAAGCCACAAATAAATAAATCCTTGTTGACATACACTGATCTAATATAATCTTAAAAGTCTCAAAGACTGAAAGATATTCCTGCCCTTCAATGATGGCTCACATTTAGCTCGCTGTACACCAGGATCCCAAGTCCTTTTCAACAGAGGCACTACTCAGCTATCTTCAGGCAACTTGTTATTCTGCGATACATTCTTCTTTAGTTTGACCCATGGTCCCAACCTAATAGAAAGCTGTGCACTTCCTTGGAAATTACCAAATGTTTCAAGTCTTCTTAGAAACAAATTTTCCTGGATAATGACGCACAATGTTATACATCTGATAAAATGTTCTATGGTGGTTGCTGCACAGAACTGTGATTAAAACACTGCCTCTTTAATCATTGTCCAGCTAAGGCAAGTTTTTGTACTGGCAATCTCTTTGGTTTGGTGACCGAACCAATGGCAATACCATTTTTGCACATGGAAATACAGCTGCTCACAAGTATTATGCATAAACATAAGGAACAGAGAAGGAGAGAAGTACAGGGATAAGGAGAGAAGTACAAGGATAACAGGGAGAACAGTATATACTTGCATATGAAACATTGTTCTTTCTACACAAATGCTGTTCTTAAGACCAAGTTACCTTCAGGTGAAAGTAAAGACTCTTCTTGAAGTCTAGCTGCTTCCAAGTATGTCTGTAATGGCTCATAATTCTCAGAAGAAATCCTGATTACACTTGAAACATTAACTCCAAGCTCAGACATCACTGGCAGTAGCTGAAGGTTGTGGAAACCCAAAATTATAAAGTAATAATGGGCACCGTCATCTGGTTCATCATCTGTTCAAAGCAAAATCAAAAGAGATTAGAGCATGGAATTCAACAGCTAAACAAAATTTTATATATATATATAATTTATATGTATATTTACATTATATATATATATATTTAGTACATAGGGATATTGCAAATTAGGGTCACAGAAGCAGCTCTTCTATAGCCTCACTGGCAGAACTGTACATAATATGCTAAAATTTATATGTGTTAGATTGAAGTCTTCAGCAGCAGACCACCTAGAGAAAAACTGTTTAGAGAAGAAACAGTAAAAAAATTACTGGAGAAGTTTATTATAACCACAATGCTGGCTGTAGCAGTAACATTTTCTGCAACTGCTTTTCTCAAAAAAAAACTATTTAGTTCCAGGACATACTCACATGTTCTACTGGTAGTTTCAACCCACCTAAAGCTAGCCAGGGAGACCCACCAGAAGCTAGCTCACAGAGAGTAAGTTACTGTGTCACAGCTGAGAGATGTTAATTTTGAAGGATTAGCCACAAGAAGGAGTAATCACTGGCTCCCTGCCCAACATGTTTGTTTTTGCAAGATGGAGTCCCTGTCAAAACTCTCATCATCTGGTAATACCAACTCACGCTAGTCCTTATAGTTGGCCAGACTATAGGCTTGACTAAGATTCAGATTTGTTCTAAACATCTGAACTGACAACTGAAGAATGCCATTGACCTCAAAAGAAATGTAGACAAAAGTCTGATGAAAGAGGAACATCTGCATTGGTTCAATGGCTATACATCCAAGATGAGCAACTTCTCTTCCAATGGGAGAGTTCCTGTTTTTTCTGACATAGATAGAATGGACTTTAGTCCAAATTAAATATAACTGTGTTCTAAATGAAGAACTGTATGTACATTCTCCAGTAGTTTTTGTTCCAGTGATATTTGCAACCATGCATGCTATGTATTAAGAACAAAGATTTTCTCAGCAATATTACTGTTTATCTTACAAATCTCATTTCTGAAGTAGATTTTTTCAGGTCTGAGTACCAGCTGCATGTTTTTACAGCAAATATCATATTACCTTTTGTATAGAATTTGGCTTCACCTCCAAACAGTGGTGGACAGCTCTGTGTTACTTCATTAATACAAAGAGAAAGCTGCCTCTGGATACTGACAAATGCATTTAGTTATTCCGAAATCTTTGTGTAAAGATATGTTTTATTTATCCACTTTAGTTTAGTCTTAGACACGTTAAAACATTTTGATGTCAACCTGCCACATATACCTCATCTGTATTTTTCTTAGACATTACCATCTATTGTATTTCTATTCTTCTAAGCAGAGCACAGTGCCCTCTTCAAATCCAAAGTGGCAATGCCTTTCAGCATGGAACAGAAAGGAAGAACTGAATGAGAAGCTAGTTTTAAAATTTTTCAGCAAGTTTCTCAGAAGCATATCTGCAGTTTTACATACCAATATATTTGTATTCCTCTTCCTTTTCTCCTCGTCGCTTCAATTGGGTATTTTTTTTACCAGTAACTGGCACTGGAGGGGCTGCTTCTGTCTTTTTTCCTTTTCTTACTTTCTCAGTTGTCTTGGCACTAGGAGGTTTCTCCTTGCCAATAGGTTTGCCTGTCTCTTTCCCCCCATTCTTTTCCTTTTTTTGCTCTTCTTCAGCCTGACAAGATAAAGAAACTAAGTTGTCATTGTTGCCTTTGTGAAGAACAAAGGGCAGAGTGCTGTAAAATCAATTTATTTCTTTGAATACTTTTCAGAGTTATAATGTTGTAGTGAAGATGTCTTGAATGCTGTTTTATTCTTCTTAAACACATCATTTAGTTTATTACATTCTCAATGAATTATAGCATTAAGACTTCACATTAATAACAGGGATAATGGTAGAAAGGTGAGTGAAGAATCACTGTCCTTCAGTTACTGCCACTACAGTACTTGCAGTCAGAAACCTCCTCTGGAGGGAAATCAGACCAAAATTCAAATTCTGTTAAGTCTTAAGCATCTCTGTTAACACTTGAATAAGGTGTAAAATAGTACCAGCACTACTTTGTCTTTGATGTAAATATCTGTCTACTATAAACAACAACCAACAGCCTTGTGCTCATTTCATTCAGGATATTACTTAGCCATTCTCATTACTTTCAAACAAAACCCCCAACATTTAAATTTACTCAGTAATTTAAGAGTAAAGAATGAAAAAAAGATGGTGATAGTGACCCAAAGTCTCACATTATACACCTAAGGAGCTCAGATCAAATAAAAAATTTAAATAATCCAAATACATTATGGTAAAGGGAGGTGCTGTAAGAGCAAGAAAAACACCATATTTCTATCCATCATCATGACTATGAACTAACTACTTAAGAATAAAATTTCAGTTTTATAAAGTTTTTTAAATACACTAAAAAGATACTAATTTTAATTACTGCTAGCATTCCTTTCGTGTCACTTTAATTGCTATTAAATCAATGAAAAAAATATTTCCATGCAAATTAGATAGGTCAATTTATTCTACACAATTGTCTTTCCCACACTCAGCTGGTCAACCAGGCTTTCCAGCTGCAGCAATTGTGTTTAGCTCAATCCAAAATCAGAGCTGAAAATCTTTTCCTTCCTTCCCTTCATTAATATTCCCTTTTTGTATCACTTAGGAATGTCCTCAATGATTCTTAAAATTGTTTGTGCTGTGGTGATTCTGATCTTATCTACTTTCAGATTTTCTCCACTTTAGACATTTCAACTGGAAGGTTTTGATATTATGACTTTGAATTCTAAGCTGATTAACACATCAAAACAGAGGATACAATCATCAGACAACAGTGCTACAATAAGCTTTGTTTATTGCACTTGAATAATTTTATGTAATTGAGCCTCAAGAAAGCAGAAATATACATTAGAATTTGTCAAGATTCCCACAAAGAGCACTAGTTGTCCTTGGTACTTCAGAAAGTAAAAGCCTCTTTTGAGGATCTTTTCCCTTTCCTCTCAATGTCACAGTGATTCTGTGCAAGCCTGCTGAAATTCCTGCTATAGAAGTTAAGCAGGCTGACTAAGGCAGTCTTGGGGCTAGTAGTGACAGCCCTAAAAGATATGTGGAAGTCAGTTCAGGGAACACCAGAAAAGGACAATGATAATACATAGTTTCCAGCTCTATCATCTCTCTGTCCTAAGACTGAGATACCGCATTAGTACTTTTTACTCAAGCAAAGAGTTCTATTCTTTCCCTTATCTCAACTACATTTGAATAACTGGGAGCTTCTTCCAAAAACCTAAATAAATTTGTTTACATTTCTTTCTAATGATGTTTACAGGAAGTTAAGCATGAGGAGATAGCTGAATTTATGCAAGTAGTTCCTGAATTAGCTTCGTAAAGTTAATTAAGAAATCTCCCTGAAGCACACTGTAGTACCTTTTCAGTGTCCCTTCTCTGAAGATCCCTCTGTTTAATGCAAAGCAGTTGAAATTTCAATAGCTTTCCAATTAGTGTAACAGGAATTTCTTCTCCACTATCCAAAATGGCTTTGGCTACTTCTACTACCTGCAGAGAAAAAATAAAAATAACTATCACTTGTATGGTTTTAATATTGCATTTGACTTATTTTGCATGCAGAAATGATGGGGTGCTACTTCACATTGTACAGTGTGTGGCTCAAAGGCTCAAAATGGCCACACGTTCCAAAAAAACAACAAATTCGTATGATACATAGCTATTCTTTATTTCCAAAAACCTCAAATGAAGTTATAAATGCTATAAAATAGCAGATGGGAGAAAACTTCCATGATTTATTTAAGGGTCAACAGATACACAGTTTTCATTGTAAATTACATATATTTTTTAAAAACAAAGAAGCAACATTAAGCAATTACTTATTATGAACTAAAATGTATTTAACAGACACCAAAACAGAGGGTGTTATTTTGAATGCTATTTACAAAGCGACTAGCATCTGAGGCATTGAATGAAAGATATAAACTTCTTGAAGGGAATTTTAGAGGGTCTGTACCGGTGAAAATATATCCCCTCCCTGTATATTGCTGATTCTGTTGGTATGCAGCCTAATTGGGGTGAAATAAGGCTATTGAGTTTTCTTAGGGTGATGACAGCAGCGGGAACATACGGCTGCATTGTCCAGATGTGTGGCATTGACAGGCTGTTTTATGACTATGTTTTTTACAGCTTGTTTCCACTAAATTTTGTACAACACACTAACATCTGGGCTGTTTTCCTTGGAGCCTCATAACCACTTTATTTACTGCGAAAAAAATAAAATAACATAAAAATATCATAAAAAGTTGTTATACGTTTCTTTTCACTCGTGTTGTCTCCGTAATAAAGTTCACCTATGTAGGAAGCGCTGTTGAGGAATAATATAACCATAATATTTTCCTACTTTTGTTTTTAAGCAGCCATCAGCATTATTTATAACCATGAGCTGAATTAGGTGTTACTCAAATGTTCTGACATGTTTCTCTTTTCCCCTCTTGGAGCAATTACAGTTGGGCACATATGGTGTCAATTTTGCTTGCTAACATTCAGACAATGAAGGTGCACACTGCATCTCATTGAACTGTGTCTTGTCTAATGCAAACAACACCATTAGCTTTGAGCTTTCAGTTTCTCACCCAGCTTAGAAATTTTCACTTCTCAAGTAAAACCTGGGTAAGTAAGTATAACCATTAAAAATGCTTGTTTGAATAAAACAAAGCCAGAATGGAATTCAAACTATTATAGGCCAAATGACTGTTTCATACAAATGAAAACGAAAAGGAAGAAGAAAATCTGGTATAACTTAGATTTTTCTGGATCACGTAACAGGGAAACAATACAAAATATTTGTATTTATAACCTCCCACCACCAAATACTCCTCCCACTTCAACACTAATACATCTGGTAATCTCCTTAGAGCACATCTAAGAAAATGGTAAAGCTCAGTTTTGTTTTACATCTTTTGCAGTCTGAGTAAGAATAGTTACTGGTCACTATCTCAGCAAACCAACCATAGAAGGCTTCTGGAAAGATTCCTAGTGACTTCAGAGTCCTGGCAGAAAACCGCTGACATGTTAAGAGCAGACTTAAAAAAATTCACAGACTCTAGTCACCCTAAAAGTTTCAAGCCATTCCAACAAAAAAGTGTAATTTAGAGCTAGCTAGAGAAAATCAAAGCTCTGAAAGGAAGACAGTTTGCTAGAAATATCAGATTAATTTCTCTTAGATAAAAAAATTCTCATACTTCTTTTTTTTCATAAATGGTGTTAACAGCTTATGCAAAAACATGTTTCTTAACTGCCTAATCTAGATGAGATGCACATTTCTTGATGCACAATAGAGAGGAAATGAAGGGATTCTGGAAGGATTCCTAAAAAGTATATATAGTAACCCACTTTGATGGCAGTTGCTGATTTATTGTTCATGGAAGAAGGAAGGAATGCACAGACTCTTACAATCCATTCCTCCTGAGAAGCTCAAAGCACTTTATCAGTTAGGTGCAATGCATCATGACTTTTCCTATTCTGTAGACAGATAACGCAGAAATTGAGACATGTCCAGTTCATTATAGAGTTTAGACAACTCTAACAAGTTCCAACAATTAGTAATGGCAATTTTTGTATTAAGTGTTAGAAAGGTATAGACCAAACTCTCTTTCACAGGAGTACATTTTACTACTGTGGAGTGAGGTCAGACAAATAAGATGAATAAAATAAGCATCCAACATTTGGCAATAAAAAGAAAGTAATCAGTTTTTCATACAGCAATGTGAAATCTGCAACAAGCCTAAGGAAATAAAAAACAATCCTTCATCACAGCTAGTTTAAAGATAGAACATAAATCAATTCACACAGAGTAGATAAAAGAATTTATTACATGCATGCACGTTTTCTTTATTTGTGGCCCTGTGAATTATTCAGGCACCTGGCATAAACAACTAAGAATCCACAGAGCCTCAGTAACAAAAAGCTGAATACAAAGACTTGGTAAGAGTACAGAAAGAATCTTTTGGGGGTACTGTGAGGTGGATTCATTTCAGATTGACTATACTTTATCCTGCCAATGATGACCTTCTCCTTGTGTAAGAAACCATGGAAAGTTGGACAGACAAATTCAGTTAGGTAGAGCCTCTTGTCCTTTAAAGGAAAAGGAAACTTAGCATTCCTCACACAGCAGGGGTCACTTTTGTGAAGTGCAGAAAGGCTGCAGTGATGCAGTATTTGATCTCACATAGTGGCAGTATGAACCATGCAGAGACTTAGCTGCCTGGTGCAAAGGGCATGCATTTCAAGCCACTCAAACATTTCATGAGTGCTTGTAGGCGATACTATACCACTGGCATATGCTGATGTTGTTGAGACTAGAGGCAGGTTTTAAATGTTTAGGAAACATTTAAATTCTGAGCCTTCATCTTTTTTTAATTTGCCTCCTTTTTAGTATAGCCTTTACAGCTCCACTGTGGCTGCTACAGCATAATCAGAAAAGCACTTAAATTACCAATTTTCACAGCTTTGTCATTACATCCAAGATAAACTTGCTAGAGCCCCATCTTCCCTCAGAATGTCAGATACACACAATGGTTCCTACCAGAAACATAATGGTTCCTTCACAGTACAAATCCCTTTCTAGCAGATGCAGTGCAAAGAGGCTATGTGGATTACATATACCAGTGAAGACACTTTTTACTGTTCAAACATGTATTTTTTGAGCAAGCTAATGAAAGAAGGAAAAATAAGCAATCTTCACTTATAACAATCTGCCATCAGATTAGCGTGGTGCTGTGTTGTGAGAATCCTTTGTAATAAGCTTTCAAGCCAGACTATGGAATGAAAGCTGCATGCTATCCTGAAAAACTTCTGTCCAAAGAAGACACGTCTATGCACAGTATAAATATTTCTGAATCTGGTGATATTCATTTCATTCATTATCTGGTGATAACAGCATACTGTAACATCATTTTGAAAGAGTACCAGGAGGGCCTTGAGCTGACAAAAAATTTATTTGAGACTGCACCTGCAGTTTATCAAAAGGTAATTCAGCCTATACTGTCAGACCATTCCCCTTGTTTCATTTTTGCCTCTCAGAAAGTCTTCCCAATTACGATGTCAAAAGATTACTTTTTTAGTCACCTTCCTTCACTGGTGAATTAATGACTCACAATTCAAAGTGAGCTCAAGGATTACCTAAATCAGTACATCAAGTGTGTATCTGAAAAGAGCTCCATACAGAGCTTATGTATCCATCAGGTAGACTGAATAACTTACACCAAATCAATGAATCACCCTCATTAATCAGTAAAGACACTACCAACATGTATTCCAGAGAATTTTAAAAACTAATAAAAGCAAATTTGAAGTCTTTTTCTTTCTCTCAGTATCCCTCCATATCTAAACCTTAGTTTTCAAACAAACCTACTTAAATAAGACTAGTATACTTTCACTTTAGATCAATATTGAGCAAATATGTATGCTATTCATGTATTAAATATCTGCCTTTCTATTTCTCATTTCTCAAAACAGCAGCAATGGCTGTTCATGCCCTATTAAAATATGTTGAGTGAGTCCATTTTTGCCAAATCACAATACAATCTAATCCGGTGAGAAGAAACCTAGATAGAAAAATATATCATAAGAAGGTCTGTGCTTTAAATCTCTCTCTACAGTCAATGCGCAACCTGAGGGGATCACAGAATCACAAAACAGCTTGGGCTGGAAGACCACCTAGCTCCAACCCCATGTCATGGGCATCTCCCATCAGATCAGGCTGCCCAAGGCTCCATTCAACCTGGGCTTGAACACCTCCAGGGATAGGACATCCACAGTTTCTCTGGGCAGCCTGTATTAGCACCTTCTGAGTAAAAAATTTCTTCCATATCTTTAATCTGAATCTACCCTCTTTTACTTTAATGACATTCCCTCTTGTCCTGTCACTACACTCACTGATAAGGAGTCCTTAGCCAACTTTCCTGCAGGACTGCTTTAACTATCAAAAAGACCACAAGGTTTCCTTGGAGTCCCTTCTTCTCCAGGCTGAACAAGCCCAGTTTCCTCTGTCTTTCTTCACAGGAGATGTGCTGCAGCCCTCTCCGTGGCCTCTTCTGGACCCTCTCCAACAGCTCCACGTCTTTCTTGCACTGGGGGTCCCAGGTCTGGACACAGTACTGCAGATGGAGCCTCATAAGAGCAGAGTAGAGGCGGACAATCACCTCCCTCTCACTGCCTGCCACCCCTCTTTTGATGTAGCCCAAGATACAGTTGGCCTGCCAGGCTGCAAGCACATGGTATTTGCTAGTGTCAAGCTTTTCACCCACCATTACCCCCAAGTCCTTTTCCACATGATATCTCCACAGGTTTAATTTAAGCAGTACAGGAGAACTTTCTAAGACACATACGTACAGAGCATGTGTGTCTTACTATTACAAGCAGGCAATGTTTACAGGAAATACAAACAATTGAATAACACAAATTAAATAAAAAAGAGAAAAAATACGTTACATAAAAATTAGGATGACTTTTAACTTTGGCTTTATTAAAGATCTCATACAACAGCT